TTCCTCTTCCTCTTCCTCATCTCCTGCTTTCCTACCACTCTTCCCTTCCTCCTCCTCCTCTTACCTCCCCTCTCTTGCTCTCCTACCACTCTCCCCATCCTCCTCCTATCGCCCTCTCCTTTCCCTCTCCTCTCCTCCCCCTCTCCCCATCATCCTCCTCTCCTCCCCCTCTCCCCATCCTCATCTCCTCATCCCACCTGCATCCCCTCACCTCATCCTATCCTTTACTCCTTCCATATCCTCACCTGCCTTGTGTCTCCACCTCCTACCCTACCCTTCCCTACCCTATCCTCCATCCTATCAAATGTTTGCCAGCCATTTGCTTACCTGCCATCGTGTTTTTCCCAATTCAGAAAGTCTTGATTTTTTGCTTGTGCCAGGGCTTGCGATGGGTCTTGAGTATTCAAAGACTGAAACGACTTCCGAACTGGAAAGGGAAGATGAGACGACAATGCAAGACTGCGGCATTGGTGTTGAACTAGAACGTGGCGATGGTGGTGGATGGTATGTAGCGGGAATTCGACCCGGGGGGCCTGCGCACGCTGCAAGACAGATTCGTGTTGGGGATGAGCTCCTCTCTGTAGATTGGAATTCAGTGACGGTAATGTTGTAGCATGTCATGATAACTGTCGTTGATGGCGTGTAGGGTTGCGATGAATTTTCAGTTCATAGGATGATCTACGGTAAGCCAGGAACCGCAGTCACCCTCGAACTTGAGACCGTCGATGGTTCCCTAGAGCATGTTACAGTAATACGTGTCCGGTGGTCAGAAAACAATGCTGAGCCGAAGCGAGTGAAAGAGAAGGTCTGAACAATCCAGCTTGGATCTCAGATTCATTGACACACTTGCAGGACTATTCCGACATCACATGTTGTGGCTCCTTTAGGCGTTGTGCTGAGTCTAACAAAGGAAGAACCATGGTCCCTCTGACGAATCGTACTAAGTACTTCTGATTCAATGCGGCAAGAACATGTAACCACGCTGGGAAGTGTGATGCCTTCGGAAACGCTGGTTTTCAATGTATTATAGTGTAGAGTGGGTGAAAACGGTTACCAAGACAGCTTCAGCATGATTCGACATGCAATAGGAACGTAGTGATATGTAGAAACTAGTAAAACGATGAAGAAAATCTGAATTGCTGTATTTTGTTTTCCATCTTATCGAACATTTCGTCATACCATGCCTGAGAGGATTTTCAAACAAGCAATCAGTCCGAATCTCCTCCCCCTCCCCCTCCATCTTCATTCTCAGCAGCTTCTTCGCCTTTATAGGAAATATCAGTTTTGCAAAAAACAAAGCAAGCTAAAAATACCTTCATCCTTGGCTCCCTTCTTAGGGTCGTAATCCAGAACATCTCTAATACCCTTTGCTACAATAGACAGTGGTCCAGATGACCCCTGTGACGAAAAATACTTATTTCATGATAAAAAGCGCAGTGGATTTACCTTGGCTTTGCTTCCTTTCTTACCCGCCTTCGCCTTCGCTCTCGCTTTCTCCTGCGAAGTGGGACATGAGACGTGAGAAAAGGCGGGAAAGTGTCACCTTCTTCTTCTTCAACATCTCAGCTTCTTCATCATCGCTGTCGAAGTCATCATCTCCCTAAACCCATCGCTGTCATGCTTGAGTCCCTTCAATAAAGCAATATCACCTTCTGAGGCTTCTTCTTGTCGTCTTTCTTTTTGCCGAATCTTCCTGCCTTCATGATCGCATTGGCAAGGAACGGACAGTACAGTCGTAGCTTTGAAAGATCTCCTTCATCAACATCCTTAGCCTCCCTCTTGCGCTTTGCTCTCGCAGCCATCCCCTAAGACCAAATAAGTGCTAGAATCTTCTGTCATGAGGGCAACCTTTTTCTCTGCTTTTGGAGTAACAGGAACGAGTCGAACGTTGGATGCCTTTCGAGCATGGAAACAATTCTGGCACATTCTGACCTATTGAAATTAATACTTAGATCCAGAAAAAGCAGAAAATGATCGAAAACCTGTTCGTTCAATTCAAGCTCGGGCAAGGTAGCTTTGAAACTAGTACAATCCGAACAGAAAATCATTCCACAACACCTTATCAAAAAAAATGTAAAGCAGTTTTTTCGTTGAAAAATATCAAATAACCTGCAATGGTGTTTTCTTCGAAAGAAGCCGAAAGGCTTGAAACATGCTCTGCATTGAAATACAGCTGGCTCAGGCTCCCACAAAACTCCATATGCCATGCACTCGAAATCTTCAAAGCCATCGCGAGGTCCCTTATATTGTACCAGAGCAGGGTGGAAGTTGAGGGGATTCGCAGATAGTTGCTTAAAACTCTTTGCAAGATGCCTTTCTGCAATTGCACGGTCGCACACCGTGACTTCAGTCTTGTATCCGAGCTCAGGCAATTTGATTTTAGTCTTGCAGCATTTTCCACAGAAAACTTCTCCAGTGTAATGACATTGAACTTTCTGTGCATTGAAGAAGAGACTTTTTTGGCATCCTCTACAACGGCTGGCGCTGGCAATAGGCACCCACAGATATCTCTTTGCTTGCGCAAAATTTTCTTTCATCATAGCAATGTCAACCGCCAATACAAGCATGTTGTTATCGATATACCTCTTATCACCTGACATCACATCTGCTTTTCGTTTGAGGCTATGCTTACCCCAGCATCGTGCACTCCGGTCAAACGTTTGACACAAATTAGCACAGAGCTGAAATTGTTGGGAATGGTTATCAAAAACCAGAAGTGAGAACGGCACCCGTGCAGCTCGAGCTTCCTTACTATTGGATCCCGAGTGCAGATAGACTGCGATGTAGTTGGGATTCTTGTAACCATTGGGATACAAATCAAGAAACCACGGTAGTTCTCCGGTAACAAAGGAGGCACTTGAAATCTTTTGTCCCGTTTTCAATCTAGAAAATGTAGACTTGTAGTTCTGCACTTTCCAAACAAAACGATGGCGACCGTCTGACATAAGTCCCCAATCCTCAATATCATGAGCAATCTCCTTTACACTTGATATCTCTGCTCCGATGAGAATAGTATCGTTGACAGTATACTGACCAGCTTGAATCCCCCTTATTGATACAAAATTGTTTTTGCCCCAGCTATGAACTTCCTTCGTGAACAGCTTTGAAAACGTTGACTTTTCTATGGGCTCTTTGGTCGCAGGATTAAGCACAGAAAGAGTGAAAGTAACATGACAACTCCAATCAGCTGCGAGGTTTTCAGGATTTGCGACGTTCAAGTATAGAGAAGCATGCTCTGGCATCACATATCCCTTCGGATAAAAGTCCAACACCCATTTTGAACCTCCAGCCGATACAGAAGAGCTGGTGATTTTATCGCCCAAGGTAAATCTTGAGAGGGAGCCAACAATCCATTCAAAGCGAGTAGTATCGTTGTCTATGCTCTCTACATTGCAGACTTTGTTCACTGCTGATGGTATGACTTTCTTGCCTACGACACAACTGTCAACAAATCGAAATATCAAGTTGATAAGTCGCATATAGCTTACCTACACTAGCCACGGCACCAGAGATATTCTTCTTAATTTTTCTCATGGGGAGATTAGGTTTACCCTGCCAAAAGACGTCAGCTACAAAAACGGTTGACAGCAGAATGCATGAGACAAACAAAACGCAAGTTTACACAATCATGTCGAATGCAAGAGCAGGTAGTATTGTTTCAAATGGTCACATCGTCGACATTGAACTTCTATCGCCTGTGAACTGTCTTGCACATAGCATTTCTTCACCTCTACTCTACCTCTCCCTCTCCCTCTTATCCTCCCAACGTTCCCTAGCCACTAGCCGCGACAGCACAAAGTGCATCGTCACGGATGGATTGCAAGAAACAATACACCCTACCCCTGTGACTCCAGTACTACCGGACCGACCATAAGTACCCCAATTGTTATATTGAAAACCACCCCCACTCATTTCACCCTACCCGGATGGAAACAACTACAGAAAACAATGTCGAGCAAAACATCTATCAGAATATAGTTAAGTAAATTACTGTTGTTGTGTCGATCTTCTTATTCTACTGTAGAACCGTGAACATGGAGGGTCACGGGAGGTAGGACGGGCCCGCCGGTTAGCCTAGCCTGTGACTCGGCCGGGCGTAGCCTCGCCGAACTCCGGCCCGGCCCTGTACCGTACCACCGGGTCACGGTCCTTCGCTGCTTGGCACTGCCAGCTGGGCAATAATGATCCGATCGGACGGGGGTTGCGCCCGCGGCCGTGTTCAACGGTTATCGGAGGCCCGTTGAGGCTCACGGTTCTGGCAGGACTCCGGGACTCCCGGAGTCTCGCGCCGGTCGGAACTTAGGGGCAGGCTCGGAAATGTTCTCTCTTCTCTCTCCTGATTGTCCACGTACTCGGATTTCATTAACTTAACTTGTGACTTTGCATGCCATGATTAGCCGCTGTCACATTGTCGGACCGGCGTTAAAGTAAAGAAAGCCTCGATCTCGAAGGGTCAGTGGGGCCGGCGGACTTAGAAGTATGCCATAACGTGACAGAATGATCTTGCCGTGAGCCCCCGCCCACGGGCCCAGCCCGGCGGCCGCCGGGTACGGTACTACCGCGGGCCGGTACTACAAGATGCTCCGGCGCGGCGCGGCCAGGCTGGCACTGAGTGGCGTCGCCAGTTTACTCAAAGTTTTAAGTTTTAACTGAACTCAGCCAGTAGAGCATTATCCTGAAGGATACATGTGATCAAACCATAATGGCGGCCGACTCGGTAGGTCTCTATCCCTGCACACGAAAGTAGAAGGAGGCCTAGGAACATGAGAAACATGCAGGATATGAACCGAAAACAATAGAAGATGCAGGATATGAACCGAAAACAATAGAAGATGCAGGATATGAACCGAGAACAATAGAAGAAGATAGAAAGAATTTTATCTCCGTTGTCATTGTATTGGCATGATCAAAGGTTGCAGGATCACCTCGAGGAAATACCGGAAGAAGTTGCAATGTTGGTCTCCATGCTTGGCAATGAGCATCATGCCTACTGGAGCAACACGTACATTAAGGAGTTAAACGAGCTTTCACAGGCTATGGCCGATGGGAACCCTGATCCGATGGAAAAGTTGTTTGTATGGTTCGGGAAAATGAACATGGTATACACAGCAAACGTCATTCAAGGAGCTGATCTCAACATAAGACATGATGCAGCTATTTTGGATGTTGGGTGTGGAAACGGTTTCTTTTGCGAAGTCCTGCATGCACTGGGATTCACAAATATCGTTGGGTTGGACTATTCCATGGAGGCGATAAATCTTGCGAATGAGGTACAGTCGTACTTTAGGAAACAAAAATCTGATTTACAATCCTGGGGAACACGGTAAGATTTGCTGAAAGGACTTTTACTCACGTGAACAAATCATGAGCTTTTGATTGGTAAGGTACGTATGTGATGATGTTTTGAACACAAGTTTGGAGAAAGAAAGCTTCCGTCTAATCCATGACAGTGGTAAGTTTGAGGTGATCTCACTGTTTGTTTGAGTTACTTGTCATTTGCAAAGGAACTCTTGATAGCATTGCCATGACTGTTCCTGATCGAGGGGCTCGAGGAACATTAGGAGGCTTACATGGACAGCGCTCAGATTCTCAAGATGAAACAGGATTAGAATCGTATTTTTTCGTGACAAACATTTGTGTGATAATGACTGGATGCAGTTCAGGAGCGATCGGATACTTTCGTAACATTGCTGCACTACTAGAACCTGGAGGCTTCCTTCTACTGAAAACCTGCAATCACTCGCTGGACGAGATTCAGCAACTCGCGTCTTCATCTTCTTGTGGCCTTGCAATGTGCAATTTTCAAGAAGGGTGGTTGGATGTTCTAATGTAGCAGCAGGTCCAAGGACTTATCCGAAGATTTCGACAGTGGTCTCAAGGTCGTAATCATGAAGAAAGTTAACGCACAACGCATTTCTTGTGGTTGATATCAGCCAACATCTCAAAATCATATTTAAGCCAATATCGATAAAAAAAATCTAAAGCTCCGAACCAGGTATCTTGCTTGAATCGCACTCACAAAACTAGGAGACTGAACCCAACATGCAAATCATTCCAGCCTGTTGTAGTTGTATTCCTTGAGGTTGTGTCAAAAAGGCAAATCAGTTCATGGCATACTGCCGATTCCAAGATTTTGCCATATCAAGAGCTTCTTTTTCATTGCGTTTCCAATGTTCTGCGGCCTCGTTGTTGAGAGGATCATCTGGGTTCGGAGCTGACATAAGTGCTTGAATGCTGATAAGAACCGTTCGGATCTGCAAAGCAGGGCTCCACTTATCCTTGAGGATATCAAGGCAGATCCTTCCCAGACGGTCTACATTGGGATGATAAATCTTTGTGAGAAATCTCACTTTCGGAGGAGTCATTGGATATTCCTCCGGCAAGAAGAGCTCTAATTTGTAAACTCCACCTGATTCAGCCGTTACATTTTGATTGTCGATAAAGATGGGAGAAATGATCAATCATTAATATTACAACACAAATCGCACCATCATAAGCAGAGTCTTGCGGTCCTGCGATGATAACATTGAAATATCTCAAGTTATCTTCATGGGGAGTGGCGCTAATTCCTGGATCTGGCTTCTGAAGCATGCGTTGAGTTTCCTGGAAATTCATCGTCGTTCAATAAATCCTCAAGTTGAAGAATCAGAATCAACATACCTTTTGTATCCTGCTAGATACTGCCATTTTATAAATCGAAGTAGTTGAAGATGAAATCCAATCTGTGCCACACGCAATTCCTACCAAACTGGTCAAAATTGTTTGTGCAGAAACAAGAATATGCGTTTTCAACAAAAATCACCACTAATTGTGCTTCATTTCAATATAAATGGTCAGACATGGAAAAGAATGCAGATATATTCCCTAACTCTTCAGACACATCGCTGTCAAGTTAAGTTGCAGCAAGTGTTCAGTAGCCAGCGTTTTAAAATTACGCGTCTGAAGGATTCCTTGATAAAGTCACAAAACGCCATGATCACGCATAATCTTTCATAAAATGAGTTATTTCAACCTATGGTCCTTTCGTCAATTAGGTGAATACACAGCAATACAGCGGACTGATGGATATGGACTAGTTGTAACGCTGTCAAGTTTTCAATAGCAAAAAGCCTGGGTCCTTCAACTCCAGTTCGACCCTCTTCACCAAGATCTTTGATTTCATATCTTACTGTTCTTGTGCTCACGATCACTATCATTGTCAACCCCTTCCCCACCATAGCTGTCGCCTCTCCTCGCCATCTTCTGGAAGGGCCACATATTTGACGCACGCGGCACAGCTCCTGAGGCGGGCATAGAATATCGCTTCACAACTGCCCGAGCACCCCCTGAGGTGATGGTAAACTCCAATGGGGTGCTCCCGAAGGTGAATACTACCCACCTGTAGGAAATTACATATTAGCTCAGATAGGAAATCTGCGAGGTAGGTAAGGCATGTTTGACTGGGGCTCGGAGGTCGCTGTCTGGTCGCACCCAGCCGCTGACACACCGTCGGCGGTCAAGTCAGTGTCGGGCCTGAGTCACCGATCGGGCCGATAGTCACTCCCGGAGTCCCCGCATCTTCCTTTACTCAACTTGGCAAAGCATCATGCGGCATACTGGGTCGCCAGGGCCCGGCCGTACTGAGCCCGCCGGGCAGTGCTTCACCGCTCAGCGGCTGCCCGATCATGGCACCACTGAGTTTTTTTGCCTGGCACGTTACTCAAACCGTGACGGGGCCCGGCGGGTAGTCGTGCTACTAGGCTATCACAAGTTTCGATTCACTAACATGCGGTATGATATGATCGGATGCCGTAACTCAGCTACCAGCTCTCAACCCTCAGTCGCTTGGTCTTGAGTTCATGTGTCCACTGCTCCAGGCTGCGCGGGTCTCGTATCCGCTCGGCCGCCACCTGCTAGCACTTTTAACCACCACGAGGTGCTCTGCTCGCCTGATGCCTTGATGAAAGCTTCCTCGACAGCTCTTGGCATAGCCCCAGCAGATCCTGCGACGTAAATAACAGCTCCCCGCCTGCGATGATCTGAGCTCAAGGCTGACAAAATCGAGAAACGACGTCAGAGCGTCCCAGATTTCATCTGAGAACAGAGCAATCTTGTGTTGGACATACTCCTTTTGCTTCCCGTCGCGAGAGAATCTGTGAAATATATTAGTAAACTTCCGCGGCTGGGAAACAGTATACGCAAGCTTCAGCACGGCATCATGGTCATTGCTGAAGAGCTCTTCCCAATCTTTTTCGTACATGTAATCTGCCTTTCTGCAAGGCAATGCATCAGTGGCTCGATCCTAAAAAAGCATTCACCTGTAGCGAAAGCCAACAATGGCGAGCACAGAGCAAACGGGAAGGCTCTGTTCTTTCATCATCTTCCGCTCCCACAAGATTCCCCTGAAGCTGTCAACAGGCTTGTGTCAACATTCAAGTCTCCTCTGAATGCTTCCTCTGCTGCAGACTCACGGTGCGATCCCAGATCCAGCAGCAATCACAATTGCTGGTTTGAAGAAATTGAACGCCAGGCCGCAACCAAAATCAGGAAAGATGGCAGCAGGGAGACAGTCAAATCGCTCCTGACAAGATGGGATCAGATCATCTGTCAGTGAATGTATGTGACTACATGTACCAGACCAGACACGTAGCTTGAGCACACACCCTTCTTCAGACTCCGTCCAAGAGGTGATCGATACTCGACAACAACAATACAGAAATGTAGCTCTTGACTGATTAACAAAACAATGAGTGAGATCTCAAAAAATGCTGTGCTTGCCTGTGAGCTAATGGCGAAGATGCAATCGAATACGCTCGCGGTTGAAGCCGGGGAAGTATTGCAAGAAGATGACTGAAATCTGACGTACCGTTATGGCAGCACTATGGCAGTCCCATGGGGAAATCTTAAGGAAGTACCCGCTTTACAGAGAGAAGGGAAATCTTCAAGAACATTGAGGATAGTCCTTTTCGTCTTTTCACAGTATTCGATTCTGTCTTCCACGCCTTCCTGCTTCACATTAGAATCTTGAAGATAACACAAGGTGTTGGCTGACCGTGCTAGCAAAGTAAGCGAGTCTTTCGGCCTCTTCGGCGTCATCAGCAAAATAGGACAGTAGATGCAGGAGATAGGGCTGCGGCCGCCCCTCAAGATCCTTCAGGAACTTAGTGCTTGTGAACAAAGGAGATAAAGGCTACAAGCTGTGAAGAAACGATTTCTCGCACTGTACAAGGAAGACGGAAATTCAAGCGGTTGAGCAAGAAATCAAAGGAAGAGTTGGATACATTGATGCTATCAATGATTGTGTTGCCTGCTGCAAGTTCAGCATCCAATTCGCGTGAGCCTTCAGACACCATTCAGGCGGAGCAAACGTAAGAAGCGTTCAGTGCAACATGGCCGATTCCTTGGCATGATAAGCGCAACATTTCCAGCTTTGTACCTGTATTCTTCCATTGTTGTTAGAATAAGATCTGGCACTGATCGAACGGACCATTTGGGAGTTTCAGTTCAACGTGTCTAACGTCGTTGACATCGAAATCCCTTCCTTTTGTAAGCGTGCTGACAAATTTGACAGTCGCTGGAAGCCGGGAAAAGAATCAAAGAGCATCAGATGTAGTGTAAAATTCCTTTCAAAAGACCTTTCAAGATAGATTCTCTGATGCCTGGTATATGGTTCGAAATCGATTCAGAGTCCCACATGTGTTGAGTTCTGTTCTCTCCACAATCTCCAGCCCTCAGGTCATCATTCAGTGACCTCTCATATCTATCTCCTGGTTCTTGGAAGCACATCAACCTCTGTAAGGATAGCTCTCCAAGTGTTATGTTCTCTTCCAATGCTCTCAGCTCGTCTCTGCTGACAAGGATAGATCCATTTCCGCACACAAACGGCGGATTCACTTGAAAGCGTCTGGTCAAACTCTCTCTGATCTCCTGATCGAGAGACGTATCAAAATAGGAAAAACTCAATCCTGCCAGTCGCAGCAAAGAAAATGCTGGAACTTGCTCAGACCGTCAACGCAAGCGGACAGAAATTTCACCGTTCTTTGTTCCACTGCACATTTGTTTGGAGAGTGGGTTGCCATTGGCAAAGAGAACGATTTGTGAGCACAAAGAAAGCGAATGGACAGTTTCTTCCTGTGCCTATTTCAAAACTTATACTTCATCCATGAATTACTCACATAATCTGAAAAATCCATGGGTTTGCGCTTTACAGATGCTCCATCTCTGCTGCCAAGAAAATATTTCATAGCCTGATGAGTGTGCAGGTATTTGTCCATATGATCAGAATGGAGGAGCTTCAGCTTCGAAGCGATTCGATCCGTCCATTCAGATAGTCCTGTTAAGAAAAGTTTCAAAACAAATTTGAGAACAGCACATGCCATGACCTTGCGCGACACCCAAGGGGGATTGCTCATCACCCAACACTACATCACACAATCGCTTGGCACCCAGAGCTTGGAGGCGAATATCAAGTCTTCTGGCTACCGCGTTAAACTTGGGGTATGAGGAATCTCCACAACCGTACACAGCATAACTGAGATTTGCAAGGCACGCTTGGTCAAGGTCCCGCTTTCGCAAGGTCATCCAAAACCGTCTCATGGTCAACGGAGCCTCACCATCTCCGGTAGTTGACACGACAAAGACAGCAGCTTCTGCCTGCTGCAAACTTTGAAGCGAGCATTCACTCAAGCTCTTGCATATTGGAGCTGCACCAGCAAGCGCAAGCCTGGATGACCCATGAACAGCCATCTCTTCTGCTGTTCCTGTCTGAGAACCGTATAGAACCAGGAGCCGCCTTCCCTGCGCCATGTCTCCTCCTGCCACGCTCCCTGCCACCGCCGCCATGAGCATCCGCCACACCCACAGGCGTCGCATGGAGCGCATTCCTGCGCCTCAGAGCTGCATTCGCTGATCGAAATTTGGGTTGGATTTCAAAATTTAAAAGGAAATATGGCGGGGAAAAGCCCTTCCATGCGTGAGTGAGGGAGGATGGGAGGATGGGAGATGCTCCTGCTAGTCAGCATGTGCGTGACAACTAGCGGAAGACTCGACGCACTGGAGGATGAAGACATGCACATAAAGATGAACGAGAGGCCCCCGTCAAGCGGAGGCGAAGGGGTCCCTCGTGCATTGATCCACTGAGATCCCTGTGATGAAGAGCGCAGGACTCGTCCAGGTCTTGATCTGTGTCGTCGTTATGCTCCTCCCTGTCGATCCACTCTACTCTCCCATGCGAAGCTCCTTTGTGTCGAGCCATCCCTCCACGTCATGCCCGTGCAAGTGGGACATCGCTAAGCTAATTGAGGACGCAAGAGTTTTCAGTTCAGTAGATGCGCAGCTAGTATCAGCGAATGCCGTCTCGCGTCTCAAGCCTCAAGGGTTTGGCTGCAGCACTCTGAGAGGAGGATCGGAAACACCTCCCTTTCTCCTTCAAAAGACCTGCAAGTTCCTTGAGGATGACGAGACTGAAGAGCTCAAAGGTGCCGACGCTCAGGTCTTGCAACATCAGACCGGCTTTCTTAAACAAGACAACGTTTTGAAAGGGTAATCCCGCTCGCCCTCGTTCACCCTCGCCCTCTCCCATCCTCTCCCTCCCTCCCTCCCTCCCTCCCTCCCTCCCTCCCTCCCTCCCTCCCTCCCTCCCCATGCATGTATGTATTCTGAGTGCTTCCAGATCGTCGGAATCGGTAAGGATACTGAAAAGCAGTGCTAAGGCAACACAGAAACAACCGTTAATCAGAGGTCTCTTCGCATTTTCAAACACTACAATACTGATTTCTGTGCAGCAGCCAAGTTCTCGGAGTCAACCAAAGAGGATACGAATGCCTTGAATGTGCTCTCCATTTTCCAGTTCGAATCGACCTTGATTGGTTGCAGGGTGTTCAGTTGTGGGAGTCAAGGGTGCAGAACATTGAAACTTCGTTAGCTGAGCGAAATGTTGACTGGGCTATGGTTTGTATTTGGCGAGGAAATTCGTTTTTGATTCAGGAGTTTCGCAGAGAGTGAAGGCAATACAAGAAATTCCGAAAGTGCTCAAAGAGATTGAAACAGGGCAGCTTCCCGGCGGTGTGAGGTCAAATATCCCGTGAGCAAGCAAAATAGTTGGTGTGACCCGTGATACAGTGTTCAACACACTCCTGTGAACTTGTTCTGCAAGTTCGTCCCGATGATATGTGAACAATTGCTAGACAAGAGGTCTAGTCTGGTCAAAGAAACCTGTGGTAAGTCGATTCTGTGTCTGTTTCTCTTTGGTTCGTTCTGATCACGATGAAAAGGTACAATCACTGCTTGTATTCAAAATATAGGAAAAGCTTTTGACTCATATCCATCTGTTCTCCTATCAAGTTTGCTCCAACTGACATACGTGACAGTGAGTTCTTGTGCACAACTCAAATCTACTGTCTTGTCTAAGCTCAAGTTTTGAAGGTCAAAGTGATCTCCTCGGCTTCATGGGATTGTATTCATTCCATAGCTGATTACTTGAACCTTGCCAATGTCTTGATCGAACTGGATCGGGGGTTTCAAGATTTGCATCTCCCTCTCAGGTAAAAAGACTCAAAGGAGGTTTGTCTCATCTCACGGGGTTGTAAGGCATTGCTGCGCGAGTGTCCTTATCCAAACGCTTAGAAATCGAAGTGACAAGGAGCTGACTGCTCACATTGAGAATATCTCTCGTCTGGTCGTCAAGGCCTTGAATGATCCTTCAGTTGCTGTGCGCAGTTGCGGGAAACAAGCTGTCTCTCAGGTCGCTGAAAAATTCCCCGAACATGCGCGGGAGATTGTGAAACAGACTTCGGCAAATATGAGGAATCATCTCCTCAAGACATTGAAGTTGGAAGATTTCAACAAAAATCAAAAATCAAGGCCTGAAGATCACGATTTCCATTCGTTCCGCAGAAGGTTTTTGCAGAAGGATTCATCCTCTGCAGGTGAAGAGAGCGCAACAGCCAACAGCCTTCCGGAAAACGCTTGTTTGAACACAGACACGCCTCACACGAGCTTCCTGACAAGTCCTCCCAGAAGGGTTCCAGTTGACAAGCCTCAAGATCAGTCAGAATTTGAGAAATGGATGCTCACTCCCACGTTCAGGTTTCTCAAGACGCCGGTAAGGAAGATAAGAGAATCGCTGGAACCCAAGAAGGACCTCCAAAGCTCCCAGAAAGGAAAGTTGAATCGTCCTTGCTCAGCTCCCTCCGAGAAGTCGTTTCGATCTGAACCACCACTTGATCACAGTCGCAAAATCAGCTTTGACGACATGGACTATGTTTTTAGCAGCGAGTCAGATAACGACGAGAGCATGGTTGGCTGCAATGATGTATCAAGCGTCGAACGGTGTGAGCAGAAGAGAGTAAACAGTTCAACAGCCTTGAGCTCTTCCGTTAGCCGAGAAGCGAAGAGCTTCCAGTTTGAAACGCATTGCAACAGGGAGACCTTGAAATCTCAAGTTCCGACGCCTGAGCTGAAGGGTATGATGATTGACTGGGAGACTGATACTCAGAAGATGGTCGTTGAAAGCGAAGACGATAAAAGTCTTGGTCCAGTACTTCGCGCACAAGATTCTCATTGCTCTGATCACCACTTAAAGGATCAGAAAGTCACACAGCGCAATTCCGAAATGACCAAAAGCCAGAGAGATATGGATACCAAGACGCTTGATGATATAGCAGCAGAACAAAATAATACTCCTTCTCTGGATGCCACAAAACAAAATTTGAAGAATAATGAGCCAACTATCTTGAATGCAAGTTCCACATGTGATGAATTTAAACAAGCGAATTTTGATTCAGTCGTCAAACCTATTTCAGTGGAGTCTCTTCTCCAAGCTTGCGATCGTTTTCTACTTGACAATGAGTTCGCTAAAGTTGTCTTTTCGCGGAATGTGACAACCCTACCTGTCAAGCGTTGCAATGATTGTTCTATCTTACAGGACAAATTGCAGCAGCAAATGTCTATCAACAACTTTCTCTTGGCCGCTCTACTCACTTGCAAGGTCATGTGCGTGAATTCTCCGAGAAAAGCTGAGGTGGTCGGGAATGAATCTCAAGTAAATGTCAATAAGAGTCCTGTAAGTAACGACGAGATGGAACAGGATCACGACCAAGCAGACAAGCGCGATTCAGAAGCAGCATGCAATTATGAGCAAGACAGATTTCGAAGAATCGAGCAGAACAAGAAAGCATTGGAAGAGCTCGGACTGACTGTCAAGCCCACGCGCAGAGAGACTCGCGAAGATTTGTCATCTTTGGAGAAGGAAACATCGACATGGGAGAGTGAGGATGAATGGAAGATGACGAATGACAACTTGCAACTTGAGAGTGACGACATGACGCCCTCAAGTTCCGTCTCGAGGGTGAGAAAGTCTCAGGCAGTGCAGTCATTTTCCGGGCAGTCAACAAAATATAAGTCCAACCATGCCGGCGAAGATGTTGTCGAGAGGCCTAGTCGACTGCGGAGCTTGAGCTGCCATCCACGTAAGGTGGATCCCAAGCAGCCAGGGCTTTCAAGATTGGAGCAATTCAGAGCCGAGATGGTCCGCGCGGTCTACGAGAGCGAAGGAACTTCGGCTGCGGAAGAACTGATGGGAAGCTCGCTCCCTTCCGTGGTGACCGACGCATTTGCAGACGCAGGTTGGAAGAGCGCGGAACATGCGCAAGCAAACTCAGCGTTGTCGAAAGAAGAGCGGCAAGGCAGCTCGCTTTCCGATTGCACCTCACAAGCAAGCGACGTCATTGACCAGGAAGAAGAACGCAAACTCGAAAAGAAAAAGAAGAAGAAAACTTCTCGGTCCTTCCGGCATGGTCAGGCTTCAAGTGGGGGTGAAGTGCTCAGCAGGAGAAGACTGGAGAAAAAGAAAAGAAAAGAAAACATGCCAAGCCGGTCAAAGTCAAACAAGCTCCAGAGAACCGAACCAAGGGAGAATGGTGTCGGCGAGAAGGAGTCAGAGGCAAGTACTACAAGGTCCAGAACAAATACCTCTGCAATAATTGTGGGGGCTCGGGGCATGTCAAGAGAACCTGCTCTGCACCAAACAGGGTGAGATCTCATCTGGAACTGTTTGCAGCTTGACTCAACCCTAGGTTCTTGATGATTCGCTGGAAAGATTGGGGTGGCAAGTTACAGAGATCTCGAGAAGAGGAGGCACATGCGTGGAGAAATTTTACATTCCTCCCGATCGAGAAGTTCAGCTGCGAGGGATCGCGAAACTGGAGGTGAATGACTCTATACGACCACTACCTGCTGACTCAGGTTGCAGCAATATTTGAAAGACAGAGGTGAATCCTTAGAGCATATTGTAGATGTTAGCAGGCCACAAGGACGGGGGGCTCTCAAACAAACCGCCTGATAAGATGCCAAGCATCTGGCTAGCTACTGTAAAATAAGAATGTACAGGTTGGAGATGAGGTAAATGATTGGAATGGTATGTTATGAAACTGGAATGCCATGACTCTTCTCTCCTTCCTTCCACCTTTCATTCTGAATCATCGTATGTGACATTGAGCCTTCCTCCGGGGTCTGGAAAGTCAGGGATATCGGTAAGAGAAGGTGGTGACGATTCTTCAGGGTAGGACATGTCCAGCTCCTCGTTCTTTTTGTGCCAAGCCTCCTCCTGCTTGAGGTTAGAGAAGAAGAAGCGCAAGGATGCAATACATCAAAAAAGTTTCCAAAGTTATCTGGGTCTCTCTCGAAGTCTTCCATCAAACTCCTCGCTTTCTCCTCACTGGTAGCAAGCACCTGTCGGCATTGGGGTCAATCGCTGCGGGTGCCGAGCATGACCACTTACCGCCCCGCTGTGGCCTGTCAAAAGGAAAGTTCGCTCCTCTAGGGAGAAACTCTTGCCAGCAAGGAGGAAAAAATGCAAACTGAGACTGGAAGCGCTCCTAACTGACATGAAGTTGCCAGTGGCTGAAAGCATTCCTGTTTCCAGCTCTGATATTGGCGTCCTCGAGCCACCGAAATAGCCTGACCCTCCGAACCTCGGAATGAAGACGATAGCCGCATCCATGCGCGAGGGGATCAAAATGACATGCTCCTCTTCCCCGGGTGGCAAGTGACAGTCGAGTACTAGTATGCTAGTAGAGGTCACTCACGCGAATGAGGATCAAAGAGTTCTTACTCAGCGTCGTACGTAGAGACTGGGGAAGTCCGACCCATGTAAGAACCCATGAACAAGCGTATGCGCATGTCTCTTTCTTGTATCTGTTTAGTCCAATTCAGACATCAACAGGGTGTGGGGAAAGGGAAAGAGAAGGGGAAATACCATTGGCAACTGACAGGGCTCAAATATTTCAATTCTTGGAAACATCAATTGACTTCTATGAATTCCTGGAATAATCGATGAATCTGGATTTTAAACACGGCATTCATTTACCTGGATCGAACCACACGTACAAAATGTGCGTGAAGCTGCTCTCATCCTTGTCCTCATCATGAGCTTCCTCAGAATGTACGATGCCTCCGGCACTGTGCAGGCACAAAACGCCCCCGCTTTTTGCCGTTTCCTCTATGTCCCTTATGTTATCCCAGTGTTTGATGGAGTCTCCTCGCAGCAAGATCGTGGCAGTACATAGCCCAGCATGCGGATGCTTGCCCAGAGGCGGCATTTTTCCTGAAATGTTCTCAATAGCCTGAAAAGTACTGAAGGGAAGCAAAACCTCGTGGAAGCAATGCGTCTTCCAAGAACATGAAAGGGCCACAGACAGACACAGTATGCTGTACGCCTCTCCCATCTATGTCCGTGCTTCCCAGCGCACGCCTAGGACCAAATTCCTCGCTTCGTGGTCCTACGCCCGGCGGAGATATGGCTCGAATTACATCTTGCACATGCCGCGAAGAGACGGATTTCGTTTGAATAAGAGAGCAGAGAAAGACAAAGGAAACAAGAGGGAAGTTCATAGAGAGAGAGTGAAGGAGACGAATAGAGATACAGCAGCAAATAAGACATCGTTCATCATGTGCATGCCGCCTTGCTTTGCGGGAATGCTGGGCAACAGTCCTTTACTCAAAGTTAAGTTAAAAATCAGTACGAGCAACAGTAGTGGACGCTCGGCTACGGTTTACTCAAAGTTCAGACTTTGATCCTCATACCGGCCAGCACTACTGTAACATGCTGTTTCACATCGACTGTCGGACCGTACCGTAACTCACAGCAAATGTTCTTGCAACATCTAGGCCATGACACTCCGTCAAGCGTGATGGAGAGAAAAATAGGTCTGGAAGGAAACCTTAAAATTTTATCTAAAGTTTAGGGTTTTGCAGAGTTAGTCAAAACTTCCATACAACTATTCCAAATCAATGAAACTACACGCAAATGGTACAATACTATGTCGAGCTCTATTAGGAAAGATCTAGATGGAAACAAAATACAAAACTCTGTTAGTTAAGTGTTGGGAAATTTAGAATCCCTCCCCTTCCTCTTCCTCCTCAAATTCACCCTCCTCCTCGGCGGTGGCATCTTGGTACTGTTGGTACTCGGAGACAAGGTCATTCATGTTGGATTCGGCCTCGGTGAACTCCATTTCGTCCATACCTTCACCAGTGTACCAGTGAAGGAAGGCCTTGCGGCGGAACATACCCGTGAACTGTTCTGAGACACGCTTGAACATCTCCTGGATTGCAGTAGAGTTTCCAATAAAGTTCACAGCCATCTTCAAGCCCTTGGGTGGGATGTCGCAAACAGATGCCTTGATGTTGTTGGGGATCCACTCCACGAAGTAAGAGCTGTTCTTGTTCTGGACGTTGAGCATTTGCTCATCAACCTCCTTGGTAGACATACGACCACGGAACATAGCAGCAGCCGTGAGATAGCGACCATGCCTAGGATCGGCGGCGCACATCATGTTCTTGGCATCAAACATCTGCTGCGTCAACTCCGGTACAGTCAATGCCCGATATTGTTGTGATCCACGTGACGTCAAGGGAGCAAATCCCACCATGAAGAAGTGCAGACGGGGGAAAGGAACAATGTTCACAGCAAGCTTCCTCAGATCAGAGTTGAGCTGACCAGGAAATCGAAGGGAACAAGTGACCCCAGACATCACAGCCGACACAAGATGATTCAAATCTCCAAAAGTCGGCGTCGTGAGCTTCAAGGTCCTGAAGCAAATGTCGTACAAGGCTTCGTTGTCGATACAGAAACACTCGTCCGCATTTTCAACAAGCTGGTGGACAGAAAGGGTGGCATTGTAGGGCTCAACAACCGTATCAGACACCTTTGGTGAAGGAACAATTGAGAAAGTGAGCATGATTCTGTCAGGATACTCCTCACGGATCTTGGAGATGAGCAGTGTTCCCATACCGGCGCCTGGCAAAAGTTGGTTAAAATCGGACAGAGTACTTTCTTAAAGGCACCTGTTCCACCACCCAAAGAGTGAGAGATCTGGAATCCTTGCAAGCAGTCACAAGATTCCGCTTCCTTGCGGACCACGTCGAGAACTGAATCAATCAGCTCTGCACCTTCCGTGTAATGGCCCTTAGCCCAGTTGTTACCGGCACCAGTCTGACCAAACACGAAGTTGTCTGGACGAAAGATCTGTCCATAAGGTCCCGCACGTACCGAATCCATTGTGCCAGGTTCCAAATCCATGAGCACTGCACGGGGAACGTAACGACCGCCTGTGGCTTCGTTGAAGTACACGTTGATGCGCTCCAACTGCAGGTCGGAATCACCATGATAAGTTCCCGTGGGGTCAACACCTGCAGGAAACATGAGATACAAATCAAAAGAAACCAAGAATCAGCTCACCATGCTCATCTGAGATCACTTCCCAGAACTTGGCTCCGATTTGGTTGCCGCATTGTCCGCCCTGAATGTGGACGATCTCTCGCATCTTGTCTTCTTTCTCGCCGCGCTTTCGCGCGTTGTCCTTTTAATAATTCCCAGCCCGTTGCTACCCACCCTGGGATTCAAAAAAAGTAGTACCCCGTCATCCAACATTATCTCACATGACCCCAATATTCCCATAATCTTCCCAGGCATCACCCCGTACTACTCTTTACCCTACCCCTACAAAATTCAAATCAACCCCTCCGATCCTACCACCACCCCTCCCTCTGTTCTCCCCGAGTTTCCCCGCCCAACCGCGATACCAACCAACTGCCAACAATTCCACCCCTCCCCTATGAGAATTTTATTGCATTTGGGGGGTAAGAGTCCACTAAATTTCCAAATTTAGGATAAACATTTCATTGTGAAAGTAGCAGAGGATGGTGAGGGGTCGGTCCACCCTTTCCGTTTGAACGCAAGTAATCACCCACCCATGTTCATGAGTACGTTTTACAGTGAATCATACCGGTACTGGATGCTTGGGGAATAGAATTCAAATCTGGTCCCCTGCACTCTTTGCTCAAAGTTTTTAAGTTAAATGCGATCGAATCAAACCAGTTTGATTCTTTGAATAAATCAATTAAATACACGGTTGCGGGGCCTTGGATGAGGCCGGATCCGGGACTGGCACTACTGATGACCGTGGTGGACACTTGGGAGTAAAAAATAGCTTCAGCATGGCTGGAGATATGGTAGGGAACTAGTCTAGTAGTTGCTTGACGGCTTGAGGACAAAGGAGCATTGCAAGATCCATGATGTTTCCACATTCAAGAATATCACTGCTTGCACGATCTATGTGGTGTTCTACTTCTCTTCTGCCACTATCTTCAATGCAGAGGGTAACCGTCAGCTCTTCATCGAGGATCCTTCTCAATCACGTGAAGCAGCTTTATTCCACGTCCAACGTGGTTTCAAGACACCCGCACATCTCCAACATTTTTCAATCCCCTTCAGATCTGGAGAAGACCAAACATCTTAAGACCTCGGGAACGTTCAAAAACAAAAGTCACGAGAATCATCACCATGACGACCAAAACTGGTCATGTGATACATCAGGATCACGATTGGCAAGCTTGCTGGCAGCAGGGGCGTCTTCAGTGCTGTGCTTGCAGCTATCAGGACAGAGTAACGATGCGATTTGCGAACCAGGAACAGGTCTTCCAACAATGCAGGGAGGACACCAGCAGCAACCGGCTTCTTCACTCAGCGACGAGGAAGAGCCCGTTAGCTTCTATGACTTGTTCAGCATTCTCGATGGTGAATGGTTTTTCCTTGCGGCAGCCATAGCGGTCACGCTAACATTCACTCTCCTCAACCTGTATCTCCCTTCAGCGTTTTCTGGCGTCATGACAGCTTGTCGAGAAAAGTTACCCTTGAAAGCCCCTATTTACACATTCATGCTTCTTCAAGGAGCGATCATTCTGCTGGATGGAACAAGACACTTTCTCATGGCAACTCTGGCCGAACGCATTCGGCAGAAACTGAGGATCAAGCTGTATGCTGCCATGCTTCAACAGGAGATAGGTTTCTTTGATGCAAACAGCAAAGGCCAGCTCATGTCCATGATGGGCGAGGATGTGGTGAGAATGCAGCAGGCAGTGACTGACCAGATCACCAACACCTTGACATCGTTGACTACCATCGTATATGGAGCATACAAAGTCCTTTCTATCTCACCGTATGCGACTCTCTTGGTGGTCGCAGCTGTTCCAGTACTTTCGATTGCCTCAGTTGCAGCACAGGGAGCAAGTCGGAAGAAGGCGATTCGAGCACATGAAGCAGCTCGAGAAACAGCGGCAATCGCCTCTGAGGTTCTCAACAACGCCAGAACAGTTCAATCATTCTGTGCGGAAGGCAAGGAGAGCGAGAGGTATGAGGAGAGGATGATGCAACAGTACGTGATGGAGAACGAGTATCGTATCTTCACGGGAGGAGCGCATCTCTTCTTCAATGCTGTCAACCTCATGTTGTCTGCTGGCGGAATGTACTATGGCGGATCTCTTGTGGCGCAGGGAAGAATCACCCTGGAGAACATGATGCAGTTCATGCAGTACAGCTGGAAGATTGGGAACGCCCTTGGAAGTCTCATGCAGATACTCAACGAGCAGCAACGAGCTCTCGCGTCCGCCTCCAAGGTTTTTGGCACTCTTCGTCGTCAGCCTCTCATTGAACGAGGCAGAGGCAGCCAACCAAACAGTATCCATGGCACCCTCGAGCTGCAGAACGTCTTCTTCTCATACCCAACGAGACCTGATGTCACAGTGATAAGGGGACTCAACCTCACCCTCAATCCCGGCACCATTACAGCGCTCGTAGGAGGCAGCGGTAACGGCAAGTCCACCATTGCTGTTCTGCTCCAGCGATTCTACGATCCTGACTCCGGGCACATTAAGGTTGTCATTTCGCTAACATGTCCCGAATACCCGTTCCTCATGTGCTCTTCATTGCTTCCTTGTGTTCTTTTGGCTTCAGACTGTCCTCCACTCCCTCCCACCTCCCTTGTACTTGACCTCACACGCACGATTAGCTTGATGGTCGCGATCTCCGCCAACTCGACCTGGAGTGGCTTCGTAGCAAGTTGGCGACGGTAAGCCAGGAGCCGATGCTCTTTCATGGCTCTGTGGCGGACAATATTCGCTATGGCAAACCCCACGCCACTGATGAGGAGGTGATCCGAGCAGCTCGTGAGGCAAACGCGGAAGAATTCATCAACAAGCTTCCGCAGGGGTCTGCCATGCACTCTTCATTCTTCTGTTACTGACATCCTTGCTAGGTATGAGACTATGGTGAGTCAGGTCGGACTAAGTGCAGGGCAGAGGCAGCGTCTCAGGTCCGACAAAACGCGTGGCAGAGGAAGTGACTAATCTGACTTCCCAGTATCGCGCGAGCCATCCTGAAAGACCCGAAGATTCTCATACTCGATGAAGCTACAAGTCAGCTTGACGCGAGGAGTGAAGGAGCCGTGCAAGAGGCGCTCGACCGGTACCTGTCTCTTGGAGCAGGGAGGATGTGAGTGGCTACAGGCTGATGAAGGGAAGAACTGTCCTCGTGATCGCACATCGCCTGAGCACCATTAAGGACGCCACCTGTGAGAAGAGCATGAAGTTTGAATTTGTCGCCTCATTGTGATCTGCAGGTATCTGCGTCCTTGAAGATGGAGAGATTGTAGAGAAGGGAACCCATCAAGAGCTCATGAAGCTACAGGTAGAGAGAGAGAGAGAGAGAGAGCTCTTCCATATCGCATGTTGCCCGCACTCAGTGCTCTCTTCCTTATCGCATGTTGCAGGGCATGTACTCAGTCATGGCGAAACATCAGATGGCTGGAGCCAAAAGCATGGGAGCATGAGGAAAAGTAGGCCGAATCGCTGATTTCCCTGGCTTTCGTACCCTCGAATTAAATATGACCCCCAGTCTGCCTCGCGCCACTTCTTGAAGGAACAGTAGGCGGACGTCCACTCGTTGGCGATATGAAGGGTCTCTTGTGTTCGATCTCCTCGTCCTCTTCACGCGGATGCCCTAGCATCGACCCCTGTGACTCCCCTCCACCTTCCTCTTCCATGGCCACGTCCTCCTTGATGGCCGGCACGATGCCAGTAGGTGGGAGAGCATGATGTTCGTCTTTGCAGGACCTTATAACCACCTGCTGCGTTCCCTCCGGCTCCTCTGGAAGGACAACGAGGGAAGCAGAAGAAGCCTGAAGGCTAGCCGTCAAGACACCATGCACTCCACGGCTCCACCGTCTTTACCTTGGAGTAGTTGTCAGGCATGGGCGACCAGAGCATGGATTGCTTCCTCCGGTTCCATTGCCGATCGTTGGCAGTGGCTGCTGAGACGAGCCCTGAATGGAATTGTGGAGGTTGCAGGGACGGGAGGGTCTCAAAATTAACACTGGGAAGAAAGCAGCTCAGTGAGGGCTAGGAGAGTTTTCTGTTTACAACCTTGCGTAGAACCCGTCACTCTTCACATCACTCCAAATACCTTGAGGGTTCGTTGTATCCAAACGTTGTGCGGGATCTACAGAGAGAAGTTTGCGGACTAGAGCCTTTGCCTGCGATGGCATCAGGACAAGTTTGTCTGCATGAGACTTCAACCTCCTGCGGAAAGCCATCGTCGAAGAAGTCATCTTCGGGACCTGAGCAGTGAGAAATCTTGATCAAAGGGATGCGACAAGAGTTCAACCAAACACAAGAAGGACCTTCAGCACCGAAGGTCTCACTGAATTGAACAATCCGGCTGAGTTTTCTCTTGTTCCCTTCGATGCCATTTTCGTGCTGCCACAAGGTCATCATATTCGCTCCTCGGTTCCCTCCTGTTCAAGCTTTTCCCGACTCGCTACTGCTCTTCCTCTCTCCTCCCCATGTTGCTCCCTATTTCTAGGAGGGGGGGATTAAGCTACCTCTAGGTGCCTGTCGAGTGAAGAGACGATGGGAACATGACCAGCCAATAGCTGAAAGAGGACGCAGCCAAAGGCCCACGCGTCTGAGGCGAAGGTGGAACGACTCAACCCTTGTGCAACCTAAGAGAATGGGTTGTAAAGACAAGCTCTTTCTGGCTCACAAATTAACCTCCGGCGAAATGTAATCTGCTGTTCCTTCAACCCGATTTTCACGGAATCCTTCTTCCTCCTCTTCTTCCGATACTGCACACTCATTCAACAGAAAGGTTAGAATAAGGATCAAAGTACTCAATCGCGAAGAACCAAAATCTGAAAGTTTGACGTGGAACTGCAAAAAAATCAAATCAGCCCCGTTTATTAGACATCCCAAGCACTCTGCTTGGCAGCAGGTTCGCCGTATCACTTTTGCGACAAGTCTCGATTTAGCAACAAATACAATTCTCACCTGCAGATCAAACAAGACGTTTTCAGGTTTGAGATCGCCATAGACGATTCCGTTCTGATGCAAATGCTGGAGACCCAGTATGATTTCTGCGGTAACAAATCGGGTAGCCGATGTTGACAAGGATCCCTTTGCTGCAAGTATGGTCTGTAGATCTCCATTTGGTAGATATTCCATAGCAATGAAAACACTTTGCTCTGTAGTAAAGGATCCGATGAATCCCACTATAGAAGGATGTTTGATCATGCTCAGTATTTTGATTTCTCTTTCAACATTGGCTGCATAGCCCTGAGCATTCATTACCTCTCTGTCCTGAATCTTGACAGCAATGTGCGGCCACAGGGACTGCGGAAGTTCCTTCACGATCAACTTGCCAAAGCGAACCCGGGAGTAAGCGCCAACGCCGAGGTCATGGCCCATAGCCAACTTGAACAGATTGAGGTCTCTCGCGTCTCTCAGTTTTTCAATTGCTCTCTGCTTAGCAGAGTTATCGGCAGCAACTTTGGCTTCGTCTTCCGGAGGATTCAATCGCGCAGCAGTTTCGCGAACTGATTCAGTCCGATCGCCCATGAGCCTCTCAAAGGATTCTGAGTCCATGCTATCTAACACGGACAGAGCCGACCCGATCATCTTCAGTACCGATTGGTTCCAGTGCTCCGAAGCTGCTCGCAGCAATTTCGGGATCATCCAAGGAACGATAGAGTCATGATGCTGCCTCATCAGGTTCACAACCCCATCGCTGCGAAACATCATCAATGCTCGTTCGGCTACCCTGAAATTCTTTGATCCTTCGAAACATGTCGTAATCTTATCCATCAACAGATCACGAAGGGCGGGATCTCCAAGTGCCTCTGCCGGAGAGTGATCAAGAAGCATTTCAATTTCATGCAGCAGAAGGACTTCTTTCGTGCTGTTTGCAGACAGAGCAGTCGGCCAATGATCCATGATAGACTTCAAGATTTCAGCTGCTGTACTTGGGCAATACTCTACAAAAGAAACAAGACACAAGCAAAGCTCTTTGTGGATCAGCTCGAGGAGAGGAGTACGATCATCCACCATACTGCTCGGCGCGTGCAGTGGGAGAAGAAAATCTCTAAGCAGCTGAAGATGCCTTTTGGAGCTTTCAGATCTTCGAAATCCTTTTATCATCCCACACAGAATCTCCAAAGCGCAAGTGACTCCTGTCAAGGTGATGGAGGAGTCTCGAGATCCCCCATCAAGTAGGTGCAACCGGACGCCCATCTGATTTCGTGGCACCTGGGAACTTTGCTGCACATTCAACAGAACAGATGATGCCAACTTGCGCCTCATCTCGAATCGAAGCCTCGGAAACCTCAAGTACATCGATATGATGAAGCTTTTGAAACTCTTGCAAATCTTGAGTCTCTCTTCCTCAGGGTATTCGGCGAACTCAACAGCAGCTACGGATCCTGCAGCCTCGCGGAGTGCTCCAATCGAGCATAGATGATCTACCACTTCACAGCATACCTGTAGGATCAGAATCACTTGATCTTCGTTCAGTAGAGGTATCAGCTGCGTGCATTCTTCTGCATCGTAGACTTCGCGAACCAAGTTAGACGCTGACATCGCACACAAAGTAGAATCAGAGAGTTGAATGGGACGATTTGTTGCTGAGCTTCTTGCCAGTGACGCGCCAACACTGCTTCCTGGGCTGTTCATCCATGGAGCAACCGTCATAGGTTTTCCTGCACTTCCCGCGGTCCACCCTCCCTTGGAAGCCTTTACGCCTGCAGGTTTGGCGGCCCAAGGAGCCACCCCTGTTATTGTACTTGGCGGGTTGGGCTTTTTGAATGGATCACAGCAGTTGACAGCACCTTGCTGCTCCGCCTTTGAAAACTTCCCATGCTGGTTGCCTCCACATTGAACAGAAGCCGACAAAATGCGACGTAAGAAAGTGACAGAGCTGATGAGAAGCTTGGGCTCATATTCTAGATCGCGAATCACACCCTTCTGCGCCAAGGTGGCTGCTTCTTGAAGCTCGCTTGCAGACGGCAGGCTGTGATCTTGATCGAATATGTATTTCTTGACGAAATCATCGAGTTGTTCGGAAGGATCTGCTGCAAGCATTGATTGGATTACTGCGGCGAAGTTGAGGGATTAGGCTAGGTAAGAATGAGGCTTGAGGCACTTGTCTGCACCTGTATCCCTTGTTCTTGGCTGCTTACTGTACTATGCTCTTCTCTACTCTGCTTTCTGTTGCCTTCCCCGAGCTTCATTCGCCATCTTGATACGCTCCCACATCCACCCCCAGTAGCCATCTGTACCCCTGGCATCTATTGGGTTCGCAGTACCAGGGTACCCCCACCCCCTCTGGCATTTTTGAGACTGTTCGATTTCCGTCGGATGCGAGAGGAGAGTATGATCGAAGCTGGTGCTAGAACGAAGCTGTAGCTATCATGTCAAACCATAACGTGCTTGTCAAGGTCCTTCTGGTCCTGATCTGGATGATAGTGCGGAATGTTGGAGAGGATTTGACAAGGCAAACAGAATTCGAAGGGAAAGAGAAGTATTTGAGAAAAATGATGGCAACAATTTCAATGCTTTCTACCAGGCAAATCAGGCGTACTGATGAGGACGAATGTCTAACATGCCGATCAACGAGTAATTGCTGCGGAGGCTGTGCTTGTATTCACGGCCTTTGTAAACTCAATCGAACATGTATCTGTGATGCAGATTGGTTTGGAGACAGTTGTGACTTCCACATTCTGTCCGATTCATTCTATGTTCCCTCAAATGACCCAAGGATAAGAACAATCAAACGAATGGAACAGACTTATGGTTTTATGCGAAATTTCTCACAACTAACTTTGGACTTAAATCGATTGCAACATCGTCGTGGATGTGCGAGTCCAGACTTTAAGGTACTGATGGTGAAGATGGAAAGTAGAGGCTTCGGCTCTTGGGTGCATCACATGCAAGGCGCGATGTCATCAGCTTTAACATCAAATTCAACTCTTGTTCTTAGGTACCCCTACGATTATTTCCTACATGATGGGTGCGTATTGCTTTCCCACTAGCCAAAGTTTTAGATTCCGTAGTTGTGCACCAAAGACAAATGAAGAACTTCAATTTGAGAACTGGTGAGTCATCTAATTATTTGTTGTGAAGTTCTGTTTTGAGCTCTATGCACATACAGTGCTTGCTATTTTGAGCCGCTGTTTTCGGGCCTTTTATTCACTGATGAATCGCAATGTAAAGAAGCGAAAGCATTATCCAGTTTTTGGCGCAATTACCTTCCACCAGAGTTTATCAGCGATAGATATGGCTTCTCTGCCGGGATTTTGTGGTGGAATATGTAAGTATATAGTGTTTTTGCAAGGATTGGAATATCTGAACGTTGCTCTTGTAATTGCAGTGCGCTGATTCAATACCTTCTCGCGCCTAATCATAGATTGGAGACAATGATTTCAAGATACAAAACCATTATGGGTTGGGGAAGGGACCCTGTCATCGGCGTCCATGTTCGCCGAGGGGATGCCTGTGCAGGATGGCGCAACGGAAAAATGCATCATGCAGAACTTATGCCAAAGTCATTTTGTTTGGACGTGGAAAAAGATGTGGTTCCAGCGATCAAGCTGTTCAGCAGAGTGTATAGCACAAAGTCTGTTTTTATATCCACAGGTCTGTAAGCTTGTTTTCTCTATTTCATTTGATCTTCTCTGCAATGGTCTGCTCTGAACGTTTGAAGCAGATGATCCTAACGTCCTGACCGAGATTCGAAACAATCCTTCAATTCACGCGCAGCTTTCTGAAGTCCAATGGATGGGTGTTGACGTCAAAAGGAACTTTCTACAATCCGACACAAATTATGATCTGGCTATGAGAATTGGGGTGTTAGACAGACGTCTGGCTGCTGATTCTGCTCTTTTAGACTTGTTCTTACTCAGAGAATGTGACTACCTCATTTTGCAACTTTCTGGGGAATTTTCACGGTTAGCTTTGGAGTTAAATATTGCATCCAAGGGATACTTGCCCCCCTTTATCTCGCTAGATACCTACTCATGGGCTCCTAGATATGGATTAGCACATGTTTCAGAATGGTGGGTGAATCAATCAGCATACACGCTGGAGGATCTCGTAAAGCACAAAGAAAAGGGTGAAATTTGAAAAAATGAATTGAGTTATCAAAACCTGTGATTAACGAACCTTTCCAACACTCTTGTTTACTCAAAGTTGTAATGCTTTTTAATGTATGTGTGCACCTCCCAAGTGCATTTCATTCCCTTGGGGAACGTAGCCATCTGCCCTGCCTTGATCTCAACTGGTTGGCTTCCGTCTGGGGTAACAGTGACGTGTCCTTCAAGAACATAACAAGTCTCTGTCTGGCTGTATGACCAAGGAAACTTTGAAGGTTCACAGTCCCATGTCGGCCACTTCTTCGCCTCTGCGATTTCGTCAGCTCCTGGAGCTTCAACAACCTGGATTTCCGACATGTCCGCTCCTTGAGACCCTCATCCCCCTACTTCTGAACTCGTCAATCGGATCCAGGCTGCCTGGACTCCTGCGGCTTGAATCCCAGATCCGGCGACAGGGGGCCAGGATCCAGGCTATCCGACTGAGTCAGCCTCGGAGTCACGGTTTTCTCCGCCCGCCGGGGCACTGCGCCTGCCCGCAGGGAGCCAGGCTAGCCGGGTCTAAACTCCATCAGTGCCAAGCCTCTCAGTGACTCTCAGTCTCCTGATTGCTATCATTATCGCCGGGAGCCTACGGTCATGATAGTTTAGATTGCTTTATTGAGAAGAATGCGAGAACAGGAATAGTACTTCTTCGATTGCGTATGCCCAAACGTTTTCCTTACTCACTTTACCTGAAAACTCTGGTTTCGACTTTAGAGACCCTGGAAGCACAATGTCTCCTCGAACAAGTGAAAGTACTCTTGGAAGCTCCTGTTTCGCAAAGGTGATTAAACTCCACGCTTGCTCCCTGGACTCTAAGTCTCCTTTGATCTTCACAATTCCACCAGCTTCTTTTGAAAAGTTGATTGTAGTATTGGTCATTTGCTCCATAGCTCGTACGCAGATAGCGCCTTTTCCCCTTAGGTTGCCATGATACTTATCTGGTAACTTGTAACTCGCTTCCAGCTTCGACTCCAGGATGCTTTGGATTAACTGTTTAGCAACTTTCCTCTGCTCTGGCATGCCACGGATGATTATCCTTACCTCTTCCTCCGACTTGTCCTGGAAGCCGACCTCGGCTCCAGAAGCTGTCATAATTTTTGAAAGCATCGTCCCAGACTTTCCGATTACCCGTCCTTTCTCATTTGAAAGGATGTCAATCGAGTCACATGCTACCCCTGCCTCTGGCCATCCCATGATCGCCTTCGAAATCATCCGCTTTGCAGCTTCGCGTTCACCGTAAGTTCCTTTCACTATCACCCACCCGTCTGTCTCGTTGCTCTGAAGAAATAGCCTTGCTCCGCTCTCGTTCTCCAGTTTCTGCAGGAAAAGACCATGTCGGCCAAGAATCGAGCTGTGAAGTGACTTGTCGAGTGCGAGCCTTTCTTCCTTGTCCCCAATGTTCAATCGATAAATCTCAACATACTTGGGTCCCATCCGCCTTCGATGCATTTTCAAGGCTTTCTTTGCGCTACAGCTTTCCTTAAACATGATGATGCATCGTCCTGAAGGCTTACCATCTCTAGACCAGTTCAGTGTATTAACAGCTTCTATTTCTCCACACTCTTGAAAATATTCAACCACATCCTCTTCTGTAGCAAATTTGGACATTCCTCGCACCAGAACACTCCTAGAATCAACTTCGGGTCTTTTGCGAAGAATAACACGAAGTTTTGCTCCTAAAGCATTCACCAAACCATCAGAAGAAGCATTTTGCATGTGAAACCATTCAAAGAATTCTTCAAAATCTATCAAGTTGTTTTTGTCCGCGTCAATCGTGTTGAGAACCTCAACAGCCTGTCGATACGTCCACTTCAAACCCAGCGCCTTCGCCACTAGTTGCAGCTCATTTACATCAATCCCTCCGTTCTTATCTGTGTCAATCTCATCAAATATTTCTCTCGCCTGCTCACGAAAAAATCTCTCAAGGAGTTGTTCCACGATTTCGTTTTGGCTGTGGCTCATCCACTGATAGAACTCGTCCTCAGTCACCCTGTTGTCAGTAGGATCAATATCAGCTCTCAAGAATTCTTGTTTTGTTCGAAGTTCAGTTGCATTCTCATCAAATTGATGAAGCATGTCAAAAAACTCATCGAAGGAAATCGCTCCGTCACCATCAACGTCGATTCTCTGAAAAATGGCATCTACGACATCTCTACGCAAAAGAGGTTTCACAAGTTTTTCGTCCATTTTATCCAGAACAGCTTCCTTTGGACTTGGACTCAATTTCCGCAGACAACTTGAAAATAGCTCCTTGCGTAGATTATGACACCTGAACGAAACCTGGGCTCTTCCAAGGTTCCAACAATTGTCATGTTTGTAAATAATGTTTTTGCTTGATGAGCGGTGGCCTATGACGAAGTGATTGATATGTGTGTACGTATACGCGTTGCTTTCAGAGAACAGCAATAGCAGAAGCAGCCCCGCAAGCACATCACGAGCTATCATGGCGTCGCTTTTCATGGCTTCGCCTTGCATTATACCGCCTAATTGCTTATGTGTACAGGCTCATGACTTTAAGTACTGAACTAGTATGTATCGGGCCCGGATCGGACTCTCAGACTGAGACTCGGGAGTTTCCGCCGGAGGCGAGGTCGCACGCCACCGCCGTGGCACCGTGCACCGTCTGAGTGAGGCCGGACCGTCGGGCCGGGCCCGGGCAACGGAATCCGGGAAAGTTTGCGTGAACTTCCGAAGTACTTTACTCAAAATTAAGTTAAAAATGAGTAGTAACGCCCGAGTCACGTTGATACCGGGCCTTCAACACTTAACAGCGCATAGGACCATTCCCCCGGTCTCATTCTGAGGGCCCGGGCCTTCGGCGGCGGCCACACTGTCGCCGCCGAAGGCCCGGGCCCTCAGAATGAGACGCATACCGGACTCCGCGGAATTCCAGTGCCACCAGTCTGACGCGGCGGCCACCCGGCGGCGCGGCGAGGGTCCGCCGGTCAGTGCGGCACTGCGGCAGCGCCGAACTTGCCAGTTGGACACTGCCAGGCTGAATTGCTACGATGCCCTCGCCGATCTTCCCGGGCCCGCTGCCGCCGCGTGCCGCACTGAGTCACTGCTGCTGCCGCACTGCCGCACTGCCGAGTGCAGTTTGCCATCACCAGTGTTGTCCGACAAAACATGTGACATGCTCGGCGGAACTTCGGAACTCGGAATTGATTCCAGGACTGATTAACCCTGGCATGCCACCCGCCTCCAGTACTGAGCAGCCTCCGAAGTCAAGTTCGGTGAACTTCCGAATCGGCAGTCACGGCCGGGCCACGCCGTCATCACTCGGTCATGTGAGAGAAGCCTACTAGGCTAACGGCGGCCGCGCCGTCCGGTGACGCCGACGGTGGCCGCCGCCGGTGACTCTGTGACGGTCACGTGGTGACGCCGGGAGTCGCCTCGGATTAACTAAGTAATGATCGGACTCCGGGCCCGGGCGGTGCCGCAGTGCGCCGGGCAAACTGTTTTCGGAAGTTCTTTTCTTTTTCAGTCCAACAACAGGTTGTCTCAAAGTCTGTCAAGGTCGGTGCGGTGCAATGCGGAGGGAGAAAGAGGGACCACCAGTAGAAGAGCTCTTCTTTCTGCCGCTATCGTATGAGCAACCTCTTTCCTCTCCTCCTCTCATTGCAAGCACTCCGTTGTTCTCACTACCACCCCTGCTTCTTTCGCCATCTTGCACTTCCAGCTCATCCCTTCCATTTCCACATTCCGCCCCTTCAACAATTTCGCACTGTACAGTTCGTGGGCTGAACAACTTATCTCTGCTCGTCGGAGGTCATCGAACTGTTCATGTCATTCATGCCTCCGAGACCATCTTTCAGCCTAACTTGCTTTCCTCAGAGCCCTTGCATCTTGCAGGACTCCAAGACGAGAATGATTTCTCCATATCCAGCATTTGCGCCTTTCCACGAGATTGTCACAGTTCTGCCTGCAGCTTTGCTGTCTCGATTATAAAACCTAAGGCACACAAAAAGCAAGGGGCAATTCATCTGTATGGTGAAAATAATCGTCAGGATGCAAGTATCCATTCTCTTGCACTGGATTGCACAAGGATTCCAACAACATTCGAGCCTTGTGCGATGGCAAGCGTGGCAACATGTGACAGCAAGGGTGTAAATTATGGATTGGTTGTTTCGGGCTTTGATGGCTCGTTAAAAGTTGTTTGGAGGCAAAAGAAAGAAGTCAAAGAAAAGGGGTTGGAAGTCGGTAACAGTACAGCTACATGCGCACTTGTAGATGCATCAAGTTTCGTCGGCATACTTCCTGAGATAGGATTGCTGCAAGATGCTGGTCCCTTGTGCAGTATGAATGTCAAATATCTCGGAAACTTTCGTCACATGGCAGCAGGCAGCTTGGTTGGAACAGTGTGCTATACGGTCGTGAATATGGAAGTCAACTCTGTCGTACAAAGTCAGCTTGTCCGCATTGACGGTCCGATTTCAGCTCTGTCTTTGTTCTCTTCTTCAGAGAACATTGCAGATGTTGCATCTGTGCAGGATCACCCCTTTAAGGTTAGCATAAATTCTGAAAACGACGATGAAAGATTATGAGCAACAGGTTACAGCATTCAAAGATTGCATCGACGAGGAATTCCACAAGCAGATTGTTTCTCAATCATGCTGTGGGGAAAAGAGTGCAGAGGTTCAAGAGGGGCTTTCTAGCTTTGTAGGAGATGGGCATCTACTTGTTTGTACCGCACTTGGTTACGGCGTTTTGTACCAAAATGTCGCGCGTAATGCTCTTCTTGATGCTTCATTCCTTCCTGGAATTAAGTAATGATTTTTCTATCTTTGTTTACAACGTTTAATCGTTTTGTCTCAGGAGTGCATTGGATAATGATGCTCTATTGTGTGCGTGCGTCGCTGACATAGAGCTTGATGGTTTCCACAAACTCTTTGTTGGGACGTACTCGGGCCGGGTATACACTCTTTTCAACTCATCTCTGAACTAACTCTATTAGGTTCTTGTCTATGAATTCTTTCGTCCGATTGGAGTGGTCGAAGATGCTGATAATCCAGACGACAGATCGACAAATGTCTCACCTCTGAATAGCATTTCATCTGGCGGATTTTCAGCTGACCCTGTGCAACTGAGCTCCAGCATTCAGGAGACCTTTGGAAACATCTTACAGCCTTTTCCAGGTGAGACTCCAGCATTCACTAACGGCCTGAGAGAGAGACTGGAATGCATTGAGTCTGACAGCTCATCAAAGCTGAGCAACCCTGCACGAGGAGAAAGCATTACTGAGTTGCGAGATGGGACCAAGTTAACGGAGTTGTCAGTGGCTGGTTCTCTCAATTCTGAGACGGGGTATCTGACGGCTCAAATGGGCAGACGCACGGAATCTCCGATTCCGGTGTCAAGTAGCAGCTCGCCTATCCCCGTTCTGCATGACGTCGAGACAAACACAACACATGCCTCAAGGGTTTCTTTGGCACAGTTTCCAAACACGAATAGCAACATGAAAAGAAGTCTCGAGCGAGAGACAAGCCTGCCTGTGACTCCTTCCTCAGGTATTATCTAGTCCTCTACCTCAGACGACAAACACTGAAAAAGCTTTTTAGGCAAGGCTATCAAACCTGCACCCTGGAACGATGACGGAAGCCATCAAGGAAGTGGAACCTTCCGACGAGTCGAGTCAGAAAAGGATGTGCGCAATTCGATGCGTTATGATGTGGACCGAGATTATCGGAAAATTAAGAATGACCTTGGTGTCATTGAATTTCTGCATCAAAATGCAATTTTTTGATACTTTGCAGGTATACACTTCTCCTATTCTGATCGCTCCATCGTCTACGAAGCTCCAGCCTCGATTGAAAGGTAAGTGTAACATTCCAATTCGCGTGATTGTAAGGTGGTCATAGCAGCGATCAAGAAGATCGCGGATGGATGTCAAAATCCGACCGGCAAGGAGGTATTTCTCTCTCTTACGTGTTTCATGCGGGTGGCCCTGTTCTCGGCATGTGAGTGGCTCTGTTGTCACCTACGTGATATCTCAAGTGAAATGAAGGTATTGGGTTGACTTGACCCGTGACGGCCTGCGTGATCTCGTCATTGTCATCCATGACGGTGTCAGAGTCTTGCAATGCGAAATGGAATATGTTGTGCATAGACTGAGGTGAGACAAATGCGGTGAGGATGATAGCCAGGATCTGATTGAATGCAGAGAGAAACTGGCTTTGTTACACAATTTGAGATCTTTGGAAAATGAATTTCTTGATGCTAACAGATATTGTCCATCAAAAGATCTGAAATAAAGAGTGTTCTTGGACCTAAGCAACAGATCAGACAATCATTTTAAACCAAACAGCAACTCTTCAATTGAATTGATCTCAGGATTCTCTGCCCCTAGCCTGTAAGTAGTGCATCATAGTCCCTTGTTGGCCCTGGGGAGGGAAAAATTCAATTTGTTCAGCTAATGCTGTCGGACTCGCACTGTGCACTTGCACTTCTTTCGTTGCCCCTTGAAAGTTTCTGGAATCAGGCACGTAAATGTTCGTGCTGCTTATATCGTAAGTGCTCGGAAGGCTGAGATTGCTTTCAGTGTCACTCGCATATAAATGCATGTTTTCGTTAGAATACAATGAATCATTGATTCGCTTCCACATACCTTCCCTTTGCACACGTGACTGCACAATCTCTTCATGCCAACAATTGTTCAATTGTTTCTGGACAGAGCCTATGTCATTGATTCGCTCTTGTCGCTGCGGACTGACTCTACTGCGATCTCTCAATATTTCTGTTGACGCAATAATCGAAGTTGAGTTTCTGTCATTCACGTCACGAGAACCCCTCAAAAGGTTTTTCTGGCAGGCTTGAGAGCCAGCATACAAGACTTCTAACTGTCTCCTCCTGTGTGATTCTTGTGAAAGCGATCGTTCACAATCCATAAACTTGGAAGAGAGATGGTTCAGCTCGTCATGTAGGACAGCTACTGTGGCAGCCATTCCCTCAAATTTAAGCCTTGATTGTTCCTCATAGATCTCACGCGATTCTTCCAATCGTTCGATCTCTATTCTTGCATCCTTCAACTTTCGTTCGTTCAAGTTGAGTCTCTTTTGAAGTCTTTCTGTATCTGGGGAAGCAGATCCCAACGGTATTTGATTTAGAATTTCTTCGAGATCAGACTGATATTTCTTCAGGTTGGATATTTCAAGTTCCTTGTTCTGAAATTTGATTGCATCTTGCTCTGCTTTAAGCTGTAATTCAGACATCCGTTTTTGGTACAAGCTGTGCTGAACCCTATTGTCTCTCAAATTGTTCTGAGCTTCTAATAAGGATATTTTTGCCTCAAGCAACTCGTGTTCTACTTCAACAATTCCTCTCTCAATTGATAGCTTCTGTTCTTGCATGATGAAAAGACTTGATTCCAATCTTCGAAGCTCCTTCTGCGTCGATGACGTTTCCCCACCAGACAATCCAGTCTTGTTTATAGGAGATCTCTCCAGCCTTTCTTTGATGATCCTTTGTGCTAAGTTCTTGGTCTTCAATACCAGATCGATGGTGTCTTGATGATCAAGAATTTTTCTCTGAGTTTTCTTCAGCTCATTGAGCTCTACCTCCCAATCTTCTTCTCGGAATGAAACACCTTCCACACACCTGGTAAACTCTTCCAGGAGAACTAACAAATTTGCTCGGAGAATTGCAAATGTGTGCTGATTTGAAACGACCTGCTTCTTCATCGTCTCTATCTCTTTCTCACCTTCCCTACACTTTGGGCACTTGTTGATATACTCAGACGTGGCTATTGATTTCTTTGTTTGACTTACAATTTGATGCTCGTATAATTCGCTTTGTCGCAAAGCATCCAGAAGGGCAAAGTTGCGAATTTTTTCTAACTTGGCTCGGGACGAAAGCTGGATTGTATGTCTGAAAATGGTATTCATGCGGTCTTCAATCACCAAAGTCATTCTTTCAGCCGTGTCGACACCCCTGAGAAGTTCTTGATTCGCTTGCAAGGTGCCATGAATTACCTGTTTTGAAAATCTTGTTTTCAAAACCCTCATCGAGAGCATCATAGATAGCCTGACATGCTCAAACAGCGTTTTCACGTCGTTCTGTACATGCTCAAAATACAGATGCCTTTTCCAGATGGAATCCAAGATATCAAAAAAATCTGCTTCAAGTAATTTGATCAAGTTCTCAAAAACAACATCATCTTCATCTTCCGAAATGCCTTTCTTCGATAACAATCGCTCAACCATCGATGCTTTCTGATCATAGCTTTTGAATAGCAACGGTTGTGTCACCTGACTGCCATTACTCTTCATGATTGTTGAAACCAGCCCGATGAGAGTGACAAAATCTTTCACTAAACTTTGCAAGGGGGAAATCTTTGTACCTGACACATTCGCATTCATGAACAACGAATCTGAAGAAGGGTTGACGAGCTGACAGGCAAGATTTTCGTTTGCTTTAAGCAATCTAGTAAAAAACTCCTGTGCTTGCCCTCCATCAGACTGAACCAAGTATTCTTCGATAGCTTTACTAATCGGCTTTTCTGCATTGACTGAATCCTTGGCTTTTATGGGACTGAAATCATTATCAGGCGACTTTCTGTTGAAGTTATCAGAGTCAAACTCATTGTTACTTGAGAGCATCTCTTTCAAATTCTGTAAATTCCTTTCATACATGGCCAGCTTCTCTTTTAGACTGAAATTTTCATTTTCTAGATCTTCTTTCTGACAGAATATGTCCGAAAATATAGTTTGATGATGCAACTCTTGTTGTTCAATGGTCTTCTCGGCTTGTCGAAGAGCTGATCTCACGTCTTCCAAGTCACTATTCAACATTTGGTTCTGATTTTCGAAGGCCCTCATTTCTTGAGGTGCAACGCTGATTTCTCGGCCTTTCATAGAATGTGGATTCTTCGTCACATTCCTATCATCAACTTGCGAAATTGCCCAGACTTTGGATTTTTCCATGTTCAATTCCATTTCAATTCTCCTCGTTTCCGCTTGTAATTCTCTGACCCTCTGCTGCTGAAGATCAAATAAATATTTGACATCTCCTATTTGCCTTGATAGTACATCTGTTTTCCTCTCAACAGATTGTATGTACCTATTTTCAGATATTTCAAAACAAAAAGCAAACTTGGAATTGAAAGGAACTACCTATCAAGAACATCGTCGTCTTCCATCGATTCTGAGGGCCTTGAGACATCTGGTCTAGAGAAGGCACTGTCTGAGGTGACAGGATCAAAATTCGGGCTTGAAATGGATCCTTGATGATGGTACGCATGAGACTTTTCACCAAACAAGACATACCTCAGTTTAGCTTCTCGAGCCTCATTATCAGATATCAATGACATTAATCTCAATCTATACCTTTTCAATCGTGCATCTGAATTTTCTAGATGAAACTTGAATTCAGAATAAATTTCCCTGTGAACTCTTTGCAACGCAAGGATCAGTTCCTTCAAGCTTGCACTTGGATTGTTGAGAATACGCTTTGCGACTGAACGGTATGTCAAGTCTGTTTCTGATGCCTCCTTTCGATATTTGAGCTTTACTTCATGCAGCTCACTCGACATGCGCTCAATCTCTTCCCGAACCAGTGCCATAGAATCTTCGACCTGCTTGTGGTGAGATGCCTCTGCAAAGTTCGAGACATTGTCGCCAAAATCATTCCATTCTCGGATACCAATCCAACTTTTTCGAGTCGGGGTGGATCCCATCACCTGTAACACCTTTTCAATTCGAAAGCTATCGAAGAAAAAACTGCAGGTCGACGTGCTATTTCTTTTCATGCACATACACGTTTCACGTATTGTGACATTTTCATCACACTCTATTCTTTTCATAAAGTTTCTTTTCATAAAGTTTCTCTTCCTCCTTGATGCCACTTTGACTAGCAGTCCCTCAACCTCATTAGCTAAGGTTCCAGACAACAACCAAAGAGTAGCTATATGTTTTTCATCACGGCAAACATACTCAGCCTCTGTTGTGTAGTTCGTAGATCTGAAAGGCTCTTGTGTTAAGATTCACAATATTCTCCTGACTCTCAATTCATCTCATCTCACTGACTGTGGCCGCCCATTTATCCGACAACCCTCTCCTCGGACCCACCACCCCGTCTTTGGCATAGTGCCACCCATCTGTTTCACCGACACCCTGGGGGTACACCGTTCTAAAAGTGATTAGGTCCGATGCATAACGTCTGGAGATGGTGCCGTGAGTGAAATATTATTATTGCTAGGAAGAGAACAGCAAGGGAAAATACAGACAACAGATCAGACCTTGTTGACCACTCTATGAGCGGTCCATCAGAAACTCCCTCATTGACTGCAATGCTCCCACAACAGTGGCTCGAGAGTGAAAGGAGAATTTTAGATCGTCAGGGTGTCCTTGTGATCCTGCACCCACAACCTGCATGCGTTGGTCATTGCATCATCGTTACAAAGCAGGTTACAACGTCCTTGGAAAATTTTGACAGAGATACAATCTCAGCCATTGGAATGATTCTCCCCGAAATCAAGCGCGCACTGAGATTAACAACGGGCTACTCCAATTTCGGTGTGTTTCTCCGAAGTGGTCATGACTATGGTCAGGAGAACAATCAGACACATTTCGAAATCATTCCCACCTCTGAATTGAACCCAAATTTCCACATAGATTGGAAATCTGACAAGAATTTGTTCACTATGAAGGAAAAGATGCTCTGCCCTGCAAAAGCCAAGAATCTAATTTCAATGCTACGTAAGTGTATGATGTTACACTCTCAGGAATCCCAAGGGAACCTCCTATACGAAACAGATCGAATTTGTTGTGAATTGTTCTCGAGTCCTTCGAATACTGGGCACATGTGCGTATCGCCGAAAAGGTTATCTCCAGATCTGGAAGACTGTGAAGCATTGGATATAGCAGAGTGTCTATGGATTATGCCCCAACTTGCAAAAGCGTGTATCAAGTCAATCAATGCGAAAGATTTTTTATTAATTCTTCTAGATGGTCCTGGTTGTGGTCAATCATCACCTCATCTTGTCTGGCACTTCATTCCATCTACTTCCAAAAACAACTTGGTGATGTTAAACGTCAAGCAAGATCATTCAGTAAAGTTTAACATGAAGCTGATCGAGGCAATGCGCGAGATTCTAGCAGAAGGTGTATCAACAAGAGCAACAGGCTTCTATCCCACACCTCAAGAGTCAGCATGGTCCAGCATTGTCGTGGGGAAATCAGTAAAACACGGAAGTTATGGCACAAATGCAAACAGCCACAGACCGGTCTCACTCGTGAAAAGGTAAGTTTGACTGACTCTCAATTGGTGCTAAAGCAACATCACACACTCGTGTGCCTAGGAATTTGACACAAGACCTAAGATCTTCAAACCCTACACAAGATCAAGATTGTTCAAGGTAACTTGATTAATAGAACATTTTTGTCTTGTTCACAGATTTCTTCCGAACAGGTTGAACATGAACAAATGTTTGGGCAAGTATGGCGTAAAAGATAAAAGCGATATCGTAGATGAGATATTTAAGAAACTGAACAACTAGTTCTTTAAGCACCAAAAGATTGTCCACATCCACAGGTGCTTGCTGCATTTGGATTGCTGAACTTGAAGCCACCTCCAATTAAAGCATCGCTGTAGTCTAACTCCATCCCGAAGATAAACATTAGCGATTTGGGGTCGACCACTACACGGAAGCCTTCAAATTTGAGCTCTGTATCTGATTCATCAACATTCTTAGCATCTTCGAACTCCATTACGTAAGACATGCCACTAGTTCAAAGTTAACTGTAAAGCTCGCTTAAAATATTATCCATACCTGCAGCCTCCAGCTCGTACGCCAACGCGTAGTACCACTTCTTGTTCACCTCTGTTCGTACGAAGCTTCTGAATCTGGCTGATTGCTGGCTGCGTAAGTCTTATTATCCCATCTGTTTTGATCTCATCTTGATTCCATCTGGAGTTAGATATGTCAACGTTTCCGACCTTGCCCTCCCTTGCAGGCCCTTCACATTCATCAGTGCTGGTATCTTCGATCATGCGCAGTCCAGCAAAATGAATCTTCTCTCGCCTGACAGAGCAGACTTTTGTGCTGAGAGAGATTCGTGTGAGGCTGAGAGGATTCGACAAAAAGGCATTGCAGTATCCTGCCAGCAACAAGAGCAGCAAAGGAACCAACAGTCGTGTTGTCATCTTTGGGTTCCTACCAACCACAAGGTTCAGACAAGTTCTCAATCTAGAAATTCCGACTGAAGGCAAGCAATCTAGCAGGAATTAGGGAGCAAGTAGATGTTTGTTCACGGGGTCATTCTTTAATCTATCCACGCTTCACATGGTGTGTTCTTTGCTTTTCGTAACTTTCATCGAAAAGAAAGGAAAAAGAAGACAGACAGACAGAAGGAAAGAGAGGAACATTCTTGGAAAAGACAAGCGAGCAAGCAAGTAAACATTTCTACTTTATTTTTCCTTCTGTCTTACCGCAGCATGCGAGATTTCATGGAAGGTGATCGCTGGGGTAGGGTGGGGTAGTTTTCCGCGGTGTCATATCTGTTTGTGGGGGTAGGGCTGCGGTAGGGAAAGCTCTGGTGTAAAATTTAAAAAACCAACTAAAAGACGTTCTCTTTTTATTAGTCGTCCATCACCATGAACGGAGTCACCATTGTCTACGGCGAAGACGAGGGAGGAGAGGAAATCGAGGAGCTAACAGAGCAGGGATCGAACAGAGACACGATTTTCCAACACAATCTGACGAACGGAACACCAAGTATGCTTTTGACCATCCTTTCGTCTAGCTTATATTCTATCCGCAAGCCAATCGAAAAGGAGCAAGTACAAATCCAACAGGAAAATATACAAATTTGAAGGCAAAAGGAAAATTATTCTTTCGTTGGTATGCATATCTCTTGCAACAATCAATTTGCGCAATTATCTCTACTTGACTGTTTCGCCAGTAATTTTGAGAATGGAAATCTTGATGCGGCTAGGGAAACTGTACCACAGGCTGAATGGTACCTTGTATAGTCTTATCCTACATGATCGGGAATGTTTGATGATTGAAAAGGGATTTGGAAATACGAGGAGACACCAACAATTCCAAATGTATGCTCGTACTTTCATGCTCAATTGGTGTTGCAATGTAACTAAACTTCCTTTCGCTCGAAGATCGAGTTTGGTTCTACTTCGCCGTTTCAAATGTCAAAAACAAGCAGGTACCTACTAGGAAAGTGTGAGTTCCTTATCATAACTCAATGCGATTACAGGTTTGCATTTTCAATGTGATAAATTTTTCGAAGGGTAGGAGCCTTTATCGTGAAGGTCACTTGAAGATATCTCTCACTCGATGATGATATATCTTGCTGTAGGCATGACACCTTTGGTACGTTCCACTAAACGAACACATTGGCAAAGAATTCCTTCTAGAAACAGCTTTTACTACAAGGTGAGCACCTTTATAAGGTAGTGCGTACGCTGACAAGCAAAAGAGCCCAAAGCACAAGATGAATTATGTTCTGTCTTTCATTTTTGAATTCGACAATGAAGATGTGGGCAGATTTGCAAATTCTAATATTTTGGGGGTAATCATGCAGTCAACAGGAAGAATACTTTTTTGCCTATTCCTTCCCATATACGTACAGCGACCTACAGAAATATTTATATCAGATAGAAAGGTTTGCAGAGAATTCCAAGATGCCAAGAACTGAAAGCTCTTCAACACAGTCGAAAGCTGTCTTTTTGTAAACGAGAACTTTTGTGTAAAACCATACTGCAACGCAGGCATGTATGATTTGACAGTCTTGCCGAAATTTTGATGTAAATTCGTCGAAAAGGGTGGATCTCCTTGTGATCGGCAAAGACCCACGTGGAACGAGAAATTCTCTCAGCCAGATTGAAGTGATTTTTTCAAGGATCGGCGCCTTTTATTTAACGATTTTTCCTTTCAAGTCCAGGAGAGGGGAAAGAAGACGAGTGGTTTTTGTGTCAGCAAGAGTATGATTTTGATTTGCTCCTTCTTGTTTAAGGGATTCATAGGTACATCCTGGAGAGTCACCTGCTTCGTACATGTGTCATGGGTTGATAGAATTTCTTTTGAGCTCAACCCCTTTAGCTCAATTGGTATGAAACGTAAATTTGATGATGTCTGGTTGTTACAATCGAGATCCGTATGACACTATCTGCTTTTTATAGTTACGAAAACACATCACATTCATGATTGTACCAATGCTGAATCCTGATGGCGTTTTCCTTGGAAATTACCGTACAGCCTTTTGTGGGCTTGATCTGAACAGACAGTAAATCAATTTATTCGTTGATTCAAGATCTGAAATGTTTGGAGATGGGCAAATCCCGCAGAATGGCTGGTTCCGGAGAATTATCATGTCAAATCGGTAAGATTTTTTAGAATTTTTTCAAGTCTTTGAAAGGCAGTATTCAAAATGACATGTTTTGTAGTTGATCAAAGAACTTGCTGATGATCCTTGGATCTCTTTGGATTTTGTTATTGACATGCATGGTATTTGTTTAAGTTTATCTTGCTGTGATCTGACTGGAATCAGCCCACTCAACATCCATGAATGCTTTCTGCTTCGTAAATCTTGTTGCTGATGACTCTCGTGACATATCACGAATGCAAGATGAATTGACGTATTTAGCAGCCTATTCTTGGTGGTTTTGGCTGAATTGTACAACAGATTCTTGAGGTTGATGAGCATCAATTGTAAAATGTTCAGCCTCAACTCTTCAAGGATTTGTTGCGGTGTTGAACTTCTGCATTTGTTCATTATGCCGTGATTAATCTCCGCTTGCACAGACCCTTCAAAATTGGGAACGGGGAGAAGGGAACTACCGCAAGTTTTAAATCAACTTGCAAAACCATTGAGCTAATTTCTGTGACAGGTAGTGCAAGATCATACGCATTGCTACACACTAGAGGCATCGTTTTTCTGTTATCAAAATGTCGGCTGCCGTCCAACACCTTTTACTCAACAGGTCAACTTGGACGTGAAGAATTCTTGCATAACATCTCGTTTTCTCACAGACACTAATTGAAGTAGGAAGGGATGCTGGAATTACATTCTTGGACTATTATAGACTGAGATAGTGCAAAATCGGACATCTTCAATCAATGAAAACTGAAAGTGGATCAAATGTAATGAAGCCAGGTGATGGTCAACTGACTGTTGTGGGGAGACTACAAAGCCTCCTGCCAAAGTAGGGGCCTTAACAAATCTTGTGCATCATCACAAAACAGTCTAAAGGCTAACATGTTTCCGCCGCCAAAGACCGGATGCGGTCTTCTCCCCGGGTCACCAAATAATTTGGATTTTCACTCGTTCACTTATTTCGATCACACGGGCTGTTAGTCATTTCTTTCATGTGAGTCTCTATCGACTTTGTCTCCTCTCCGAGACTTTCCACTCGTTGTCTGTCTCCATCACTATATGCCAAAGTCTGCCTCCCTCCCTCCCCCCCCCCAACTCTCTCTCAGTCTGTCTCTCTCTCTGTCTCCCTCCCTCCCTCCCTCCCTCTCCCTCTCTGTCCCTCTGTCCCTCTCTCTGCCTCTGTCTTCCCCTCCCTCCCTCTCTGTCCCTCTCTGTCCCTCTCTGTCCCTCTCTGTCTGTCTCTGTCTCTGTCTCTGTCTCTGTCTCCCCCTCCCTCTCCCCCTCCCTCTCCCCCTCCCTCCCCACCTCCCGGGGGCTCTCTCCCTTCCACCCTCCCTCCCTCTCGTTCTGCCGCTCTCTCTCTTGGATTCCTGATGGCTGTTGTTACTTTGCAAGCATGAAACAAACATGACGGAGTGGAGCAAGCGAGTTCAGAACTCATCGCTTTGATGCCTGATCATAAGTAGAGCAAGCAACCTTCATAGCGAGGTTATTTCGGCGAGCAGTCCTGGTCACGGGTGCAAGGGAACAAGAAGCTCCAGCAGGCAGCGAGAAGGGCAAGCGCCTTCGAGGGAGGAAGTCGACATGGAGGCGGAGGAGGCCGGCGCAGGCCCCTCTCGCGCTTGAGGCTCAAGTCAGGTCTGAGAGGTGGACAGTGGGGGGAACCTGGGAGGAGAGTCGGGCCGATCATCAATTTCCAATCAACAAATTTTATCATGAACCAAATGAGAATGTTAATTTATTTGAAATATGATCTTGATCTTGAAAAATCATCAATTAAATTTGCTTTGGAAAATGGAAGCTTTTAAAATCTCTTCAGCACATCAAGGGATGCAGCAACAGACGCAGCACAGGCAGGGGCCGATGCAATCACAGCAGGCGGCGGATTGGCTGGTTCTGTTGTTTCAGCTGTCGCTGGTGCTATATTTGGCGGATTAGCTGGTTCAGCTCTTGCTATTCCGTCCATGATAGAAGCTGCAGCTACTAGGGAAGCAGTCATTGCTTTGATGCGATATCTTCAAGATATAGATGATCAATTGAAAGTTCAAGATGATGTCATTTTAAGGTTTATTCAAGAGACCTTACAGATGGTGAAAATCTAGGCATTGGATCTAATTTGAATTATATATATGATTTGCAAATTGTGACATTACCTAATGGCTGCAAGAAAAACAAAGGGACACTTGGGTCTGGATAGGTGATAAGTATCTTGATTGAAACATGCGGTGACCGCATATTTCATAATCATAACTTACACGCTACCAGGCCCAAGTTCAATCCGTCCGAGCAGCAACGACAGAGTTTGCAAAGTACATGTCAGTCTATGACCGCGTCATTCATGATTGTAACTTACATACTAGCCAGCCCAATCAACAACCCATCCGACGAGAGAACCAAAAATTGCAACAAAAAACGAAAACCATGTCAGCCAATCATTCCCTGACCGCATCATATGATATGACACTTACGTCCTACGAAGGCGAATTTGATCCATGCAAGCAAGGATAAACCAGGAATTTGCAAAATACATGTCAGTCTATCGTCCCCTGACCGCATCGTTGAAGAAATGATTGGGTTTACCGGGCAAATCTTCTTTTCGCCAACGTGATCTTCCTCCTCTGCTTTACACTTCTTGCAGGTGCCATCGTCATCCAGAACGAAGGTCTGAAAAATTTGTCAGCCTAATCGTCCCCTGAGCGCATCATAGCATATGCTACTTACTCGCTGTCAGGCCCAAGTTTCATCCATCCACCCAGAAACAGCAGACATTGCAAAGGACATGTCAGCCAATCGTCCCCTGCATCTTTCATAAGCTTCACTTACCCACTATCCAGCATCATCGACAGTCCATCCAAGCAATAACCGATAAAAACGCAAACATTCATGTCAGCCGATCGTTCCCTGAGCGAACGGTTCCTTACGGAGCAGAACTTGGATGATCCATAATGATCGTTTTCAAGCTTCGGGCAGTTCTCGCACTTTCCTTCGGCTCCAGCTTTGAAAGTAGCCTTGTCATAGGTACCAGGATCGACATTGATGATCTGCAGCATTTCGAGTCAGGAGGCCATCAAAGTGCTTCGAGTAGAAAAAGCAAGAGCAGGAGCTGCCAACACAAAGCAAGTGAATGATCAAAAGGAAAAGATGTACGGGAGTAAAGAAAGCATCTCAATCAAGTATGAGAGTGAAGGTAATAGCATCTCATCGCTGCTGTCTTGCCTTGCAGTCAGGACATTGCCACGGTATCGCGGACATGCTGTGGGGAAGGTGGGTGGGGATAGGTGGATGCGGAGACGAATATGAAGAGGTCACTGAAATGTCTGGGGGTGGGACTTAAAAGGCTGGTAAACTCGGAATACCAGTGGTTTCGAAGTTAACACTGACACTAATGACCGGCCCTGAGTCCCTTTACTCAAAGTGAGTGTGTATGAGATTTGGTAAAAAGGAGGGGTGGTTTTTAGGGTTACCGGTGGTTTCGAAGTTAACCTTTAAAATCGACAAAGGCCTCCCCTGGGAATCCCGGACTCCCCGGGGAGTCCCTTTTTCGAGCCCTCATACAGCCCCCTTGGAAGGGCATAAAGGCGGGGAAAATGGCAGGGGAAGGAAGAGGGGAGGAAGAACTTTCCAACGCTGAAATTCGCGTTGCAAACGACCAACCCGTTGTCGAGATAGGACAGGAGATAGCTGTGAAAAGTAAGATTTTTGGCCGTTTCAGGCCTGCAAAGAGCATTCTCATGGGCGTGCATAGATGCGATTGGAACTCCGTCGCGATTACTGGAAAGGTGATAGTGAAACGATCCACATTGTTGCCTGGGGAAACAGTGCCAAATTTGCAAAATTCTACCAATGTTTCCGCTGCCCGCGATGTAGCCGCGTCCGATGACGCTGGCTCTAATGATGTAGTGGTGTCTCATCATGACCCTGTCCCTATGCAAGGGGAATCAAACCATGAAAATGATTCCTCTTCGCCTATGACCATCAATTGCAATTTTGGAGAAAATGTCCTCGTTTGGCAGTTATCACCGACTGGTGTTGCAGAAGATCAACGACTGTCAAGTGGATTTGCAATGCGCAAAACTGTGATTCGCTGGACACCAGCTCTGCAGGATCCTTGACGAGAAAACTCCATTTGATTGCAGTGGAAATTTCTGCTTCCGTGGAAGTATTTTTTCGGAGATTGTGATGAAACTGGATGTTGTTTGCTCTGGACGGACAATTCTTTGCCAGCAAATGTGAAACCATTCACTGTACATGAATGGCTTCAGTTCATGGGTCACGGTGTTGTTCATGAGAACTCTACATCCAAACGGTCCAATAAGGAGTTTATGGGGCAGCGATTACGACTCTGCCAGTCCGCCTGTTGATTTGGGTAAGCGCTTTGGAGTCAGTCGTTTTCGATTGGAACAATGGCGAAAGCACATAAAATTCGCTCCTCCGTATGCATACATTACAGACAATGCTTTTAATTGTATCCGACCCCTTATACACGCTTTCAATGCGAACAGATTGCAAACAATTCGTCCTGGATCTGAATTGATTTTGGATGAAAGCATGCCAGTAAATGGATACCAGTTGCTGAGGTATCCTACCATATTGTGTTGGAAATTTGTGTGACTGACTTTGTATGAAGGACGTTGATGATGGAATCCCATTTCTAACAAAAATTGCCCGAAAACCACAAGGTATTGGCAGTGAGTACAAGAACATTGCAGAGTGTACCTACGGAATTATGTTGCAGCTAGACGGTTACAAGAAGGCAAACGAGTGATGGAGAATCAAGAATTTACTGATCAATATCCGAAGCATACATCATGGGTTCTCAGATTGATGAAGCCTTACTTCAACCAGGGTCACATTCTTTACGCAGATTCCGCTTTTGCGTCAGTGTCAACTGCACAAGCTCTGTTGGAGAGGAACACTTTTTTCACAGGATTGGTCAAACAATGTCACAGAGGCTTTCCAAAACAATCATAGTATCTGAACAAGGATGCATGGGAGGCTAGTGCAGCAAGAGGTGCTACGAAGACCGTATCAACTTCATGGCAGCATAATGGCAGGGAAATGTTCATTTTCGGGCATGCATGGAATGAACCTGGCAGGCCTGATACCCAGCCAGGAACAGGGAAGAAAAAAACACTGTCAACGCCAAGAACGGCCATGATCAAGTCATATTTCAACGGAGCATCTGTGATCGATGTGCACAATCACCTGAGACAGAGTGGACTGGGACTGGAAGAAAAAGTTGGAACTGATGACTGGAGATTCAGAATGTTCTGTACGATACTTGGGTTCATTGAAGTGGATGCATACAAGATTTTCCTGTTTACTGACGCCCTGGCCAAAGCATTGATGAGAAATTCGTACGAAGGTTGTCCAGATTCATCGATTCCAAGAAGAGGAGGACAGGATAGCACAGATACCAGCGTGGATGATGACAGTCATGAAGCAGAAGCGCCGTTGGATGATCACCAACTGATACTTGTTGACGACCACGCTCGATCTTTCATCCAACAAAGTACACAAGTGGGTAATGCACAGCGGTTGAAAAGAGTGAGATGCAGGATTTGTCGAAGTGGCAATGGAAAGGGTTTGTACACTACCTTCTGTTGTTCACTTTGTAGCAAGAATGATCCTCTTAAGAGACCATTTGGTATCTGCGGACCAGCGTCGCGTAGAAATTGCTTACAGGAGCACCAAGATCAACATCGGTGAAATGGTATAAGATAATATAGCTAAGAAATGAATCCTTTTTAGTAACATTTGTACAAGATCAACTTTGCTTCAGAAGCGAGTCAGCACACCGAAATCATCCGGCATGGTACTTCTAAATGTAAATCTACAGCGGTTGGCGGCTCAAAAAATGGTGAAAACAGAATGTTGTACCTCACACAATCAAGATATCATTCACCTTAGATTAGAAATTGATATAAAATCTATCTCTCAATACGTGGAGATGTTCTGCAGGCTGACGAGGTGCTGCTACTGTGGAACTGGATGCTCTCCTCGCCAGCATGCGCGCGCCACCATTGCGATTATTGCAAACCCCCACCTACTCCAAAATGACCCCCACCCATCTTATATCAGGATTAGACTAGCGCATCAACCCCGTACTATCTCTCATTCAACTACCCCCCACCCCCTTCATGAGGCACTTGCAGCTCTGAAACTGCCGAAATCGCTACACTCCAGACAAAAAATTTTGTCGTTTAAAGGTTAAGTGAAGGTATCAGTTAAGTTTGGGGGACAGCAGTCGGCAGGATTAGGTTTGGTTCTCGCTGTCTTTTCTCTTCTCGCCGTTTGGCCTGTGCGACAGTAGGTGTGTCCGGTACGCTACTGACGGTGACGTTATTCTGGCCGTAAAATTTGCGTAGAGTGCAAATTGCAAATCAGGTTCGGTATCAACTATACTATCTGCAAATGTGAATTTCGATGAATTTCAAAAGTTTCAAATTACACGAGGAAATTACGAAATTGATCGAGGCGACCATGCTTCAATGGTGCGAACAGCAGCACCATGGCACAAGGCACCGGCGCATGCCTCATGCCTCGGCGGATCAGGGGATCTCCATTCGATGGAGATGAAGATCCTTGCGCACAGAACTTCCGTATCTTGATGCCATCAAAACTTTGCCATTGAATGAAGATATATGCGTTGCGGACGGTACCATCAAAACAATTACGAGATGAGACAAATGGCATGATGCTATTACAATTCGTGCACTCAATCCTTCAAGATGGAGAGGAAACTTCATTCAACATGGGAAAAGCACATTAAAACAATTAGCAGGAAGGTGCACATGCAGCAAGGAGTTGCACGACTTCGCAACGGTATCATGAACGTCTTCTCCGAAGTTGTCACCATGTTTTCCCGAATCGCATTATAGTTGCCGGGAACACCATCAACAGCCATGGCTTCGCCATTCTGATCAAGGGCATTGAGTGACTCAAGCATTTCGAGGAAATGCTCCTGTCTAAACTGCGGCGAAACCGCTTCAGCAACTCAGAATCTGCAAAACCTCCCAGTTCAGGCGATGACATCAGTCACGGCACGGTGGAGGCATCGAGGACGGTGTGTCTCGATGTCTTGCCAGGCATGTCCTGTGCAGGGACCTGAAGTGATCTGATGCAGCCACGCGCATAGAAGTTCCCTGACAAGGGCTCATGGGCGGGAACGATGTGATGGTGGACGGGGGAGCGCAAGGGGGGTATTTAAAAACTTGAGTTTTAAATTTAGAGAACGTCAAGTAAAAAGTGGTGGTCCTTATTTTGATCGGATTTGAAAAATAAGAACTGTCGGCGGTAGGCTACTGTCTGTACGTTTACCGTTGAAAACGGTTGTAGTGAAATTTAACGAACTGTCGGTGAAATTTGTACCATGAAAAATACCGACAGTAGCGTACCGGACACACCTAGTGTCAGGGTCAAGCCTCCTCGACTCTCCTGATTGTCCTCGTACTGATTTTAACTTAACTTTGAGTAAAACTTAGCCTACTGTACGCGAATTTAACCTACAGTTACTAACAACGTACAGATAGTAGCGTACCGGACACACCTACTATCTTCTCCTGAGGACGGGATAGTTTTTTTTTAGTTTTCTCGCACGAGAAGGATTTAGAGATGCTTGATGCACACATGGCGACGAATGAAATGAATCCTACAAGATATCTGGTTCTAGGCCTGGCCTTCTCTTGGTTTGCAGCTCTGGTTGCCCCTTGTCATGGCTTCGGGATCCCGCCGGCATTGGAATCGTCTCATGCCTGGTTGCAGTCAAACCTGGTTCCCGTCAGGGACCTCAACTTACTAGCATCGCGGTCCCGCTTGTCTGCCTTGTCAGCTACTAGGATGGGCTTAGGTCCGAGGCCCTCACGCAGAATACTGCCAATCTTCTCAGCCGCTCGCGGGCGGGTACGGATCTCAGCCATAAGCTCTGGGAAAGCATATGTCACTGAGGTGTGCGATATGCTGGGGATTGATGCTGCGAATGCGACCTCGAATGTGTATGTTATTGCATTGGAGCTGCAGAAGAAGGACATGGAGACGGAGCTGCAGCTGCAGAAGAAGGACATGGAGAAGGAGCTGCAGCTGCAGAAGAAGGACATGGAGACGGAGCTGCAGCAGCAGAAGAAGGACATGGAGAAGGAGCTGCAGCAGCAGAAGAAGGACATGGAGACGCAGCTGCAGCAGCTTGCTAATTACTACAAGTGTCAACTGTCATTCCTCACCCAAAGGTGTGCATCAGGCTTGATTGAAATATGCGGATGTCACGGGTACAACATCATATCCTTGAGAAGCTGTTCAGGAAAGTGGTGCAGATTGTTGAATATTCCGAAGATGGTGCGCTGCAATCTATGTTGTCGAAGAAGGATCTCAATGCGATGCTGAAAGGAGATATTTCTATGACTGCCGTAAATCGGCTCTTGAAGGATGAGGAGCACGCAAGGTTTCGACGGAAAGTGTGGGAAACGATCGGGGTACCACAGGACCTTGTGATACCCACGTTTGATTCAAAAACGATGTTGTATGGGCAGCTCTCTGAAGTGATACACGGGTCATCGGGAAAGTATGTGTATCTACCGTCGAATGCAGGCGAATTGGAGATCAGATTTTTCGGTGAGGTTTCAAAGCTTTTCGAGAAGGATGTAGACTATTTCGACGTCGTGTCGGTAAATGCGGGAGAGACCCTGGAAGCTGATTTTCCCCCAAAAAACCAAACGAATTCGTCCGGATATTCAAGGTGATAACTGGGACGGTTGGGTCTCCTTGTCCCTCGCCGTGGGGGTCTAGGCCCCTCTCCAACCAAGTCGGCCTTGCGCGCCTACCGTACGGTACCGCGGCAGTACTGCAGGAAGAAAGGCAAACAGTGGAAGGACATGTAGGACGTGACGGCGTTTTGTGTGTTGGAAGTAAAGAGTTAGTTTTGTTGCTACAGGAAGATGCAGAAGTAGAAAGTACAAAGAGACCACAGAGGCGCGCCACTTTAGACTATGATTGTGTATGAGAGCCCATACGCGGCCGAACAACATTCTACTTTGAAACAAATTGAAATTCGTTCTTTCGGATAGTACAGCTCGTACCGAATCACTTTTTGAAATTTCTCGGCGTACACCTCCTTGGCGGAGCTTCCTCAGGCGTGCGACAATGGCTGGATCCCCTCGCCTGAATTATTTGGGACGTCGGGCAGTGTGCTTTTCATCCCCGCCCAGCGGGAGCTCACGGCTCAGTTCCTCTCGGAGTTTCCTCGGTTCCGCAGTATTCGGGCTCACCTTTCTGAGCGCCAGAGATCTTTGTTGGCACACCACTCCAGCTTCTCTACTCCCCTTCGAGTACCAGGCCACCCGGTTGATGAACTTCTGTCTCAGTTTACCCCTCAGCGCACGATTTGGCACTCGACTATGGAAAGTACAAACCTTGGGATCTTTGAGCAGCAGCCCATCAGCTTGGTGGCTGCCGCTGACAAGTTTCTTCATGGATTGCCGGTTGACCTCCCGCCGCACTGCGATCGATGCCATCATCTTCTCCGTCATCCTGGGGGGACCACACACATGGCAACCTGCAGGCACCGCAGCCAGTTATGGACTGATGCGCATGAGAAGTGCAATGCCGTCCTCAGTACCCTCATCAAAGATTCCGGAGTGAGATGCCGCGTCCACGTGCAAGGCGTACCCGGCACCAGGCAGAACGTTTCCCAACATGGCCCGGAAGATCATCATGTAGGGGACTTTGAACTTCCACAACTGATGGCTACTGGCGGCGGATGGCATGGGTTAATCCTGGACTTCAGCATGTCACATGTGTTTGACAATGATGGAATACCGGACCTCGCTCGGAGCAAACTGCAAGCGGCAGCACAGCGGAAGATCCGAGGGCATCGTAATGCATATGCTCAGCACGTCCCGCCAAAGGCCTTTCTTCCCATCATCGCCAGCACTGATGGCCTCTTGCAGGACGATGCGTTGCGCTTTCTGTGGTGGCTGGCGGATCGCTCGGCGAACAAGGAAACGGGGGGGCCGCACCAATATACGTGGTCGCCCTCTCCGTACTTGCAGGCTCTTCCACCTGAGTCACCCGACGGTTAGTTCAGAGCTCTTTACTCAAAGTTAAGTTAAAATCAGTACGAGGACAATAAGGAGAAGAGAGGAGGCTTGACCCTGACACTGCCGCACAAGCCGAACGGCGAGAAGAGAAAAGACAGCGAGAACCAACCCTCATCCTGCCCACTGCTGTCCCTCAAACTTAACTGATACCTTCACTTAACCCCGGCGCGCAGGCCATTCCCCCGCGCCATGTCACCGATGTCGCTGTGGCCGCCGCCGAAGGAATGAGACGCATATCTGTACGCACCCGCAATGATGGCAGCATAGGACAGGGAGGCCTTGAGCTGACGAAAGATCCTGGACCAGAGACTCTGTGTATCACAGTGAGGTGCCAGGCGGAGGCCGCCGAGGCCGCGGCAGTCACGGGCTGGCACGGTGGTCCTTCAAGACTTCAAGGAGTTCGTCGGGGGCCGGTTAGGCAGTGGCAGGCCTCGGCCCTGAAACTTGAAACATTCAAGCCTCTCGTCATCAGCGGCTCATCACAGAGTCATGGCCTCGGGCGACTCCCGGACGAAGATGCAGACTGACCGGGCGGAATCTCTCCGAAGTTGGACGCCATCCTTCATGCCACGGTCCTCAATAAATCAGTTCACTGCCAAGTCAGCTGCAGGCCAGTGGACCTGACATGATCGGACTCAGTAAAACCCGATCCTTCGAATGGAACGCCGGGACGAGGCTACCAAGGATGCCTACAACTTCCGGAACTTCATTCTGCCAACTTCCTCTCGTCTTACCGCGGGTTTCGACACTGCATAGAAAGTCCACGGCCAGCTTCTTCGCAGACCTCAGCCGACATTCTCGACCCCCTGAGGCAGTCCCCTGTTCTCTCGCCTGGATGCCAGGGTAACACTTCTCCGGGCTCATGGCAGCTACACAGTGGAGGCGGCTCTATCCCCCAGAGTCAGCAAGTCAACCTTCGAGCCCACGGTTCCGGGGGCCCCCCGGGCAGTGGAGCCCTGCGGCACTGACGCGGCCAGTGCCCCATCATGCCGGGCCCATCCACTGAGCCTCGCACGAGGGACAGTCGATCGCTTCACGGTGGCACAGAGTCAGCCTCCATCGTTGATGGGGTCAGTGGTTCTGGCTCGGAGAGTCATTGCCTTGCCTGCCGTCGCCGCTTGCGTGGTTGGAGTAGCGGTTTTGCTGCCTCCTTCGTTTCCTAGTATTTTCTCGAGGCGGAGTTGTAGGTTTTCTCCTAAGTTTTCCTCCTTGCTTGCTCCCGGTTTGGTTTTCCCGGTTTTTCAGTCAATGATCTGACAGACGGGCCAACCCCTAGTGTGGGAATTAAAACTGGTACAAATATTTAGTTAAATACCCCCCCTCCTTTCCTCATCGCGCCTCCATGCAGAGCGTTCGGGGCGGCGGGGGATTTAGGGGGTGCTGCATGCCATGGCAGGGTGTCACGAGAAAATTCAAATCAAAGTTTTGGCGGGCAAAGCTATGTTGCACCACACCATGGGCAGGCCCGGCGAGGCCTCCAGCGAAGAAAACATGCACATCATGCCACAGACGAAGAGAGATGACCAGTATTCGAAAGTGCCGCATGTTGCAAGGTTCAAAAAACAAAACACTTGCAATGATCTTGAGCAGATCTTGCTCTCTAAATGGGATGATGCCTTGGTTTTCAAGCTGTTGGATTTCTTGCGATGTCATGGCCATGCAACTTTATCTGTGGAGTGTGAAGACTAGAATCTTTTAGCTGAGTTCAGCGACCCAGAACCTCAAGTGGAATCTTCGTTCTGTATCTTTGTTTGAAATCCAGAACAAACTAAAGGTCCTCGGAGATGTCTATGGGCATACATCAGAAGGATTTTCGAGATTGTTTCTCCAGCACTACATGCAGGTTTTCGAACAACAAGCATCTGGTAAATCACATGGAGGCACAAAGGTCATTTATGAGCACTTGAATCAACTTCGTACACGTATTTGCAACATTCGCAGGAAGAATGGAAACCTTCTTTCTCGAATGGAAGAATGGTCTACTGGTCACTTCGTGGATTTACACACCTCAGCAAGGAATTGTACAGATGGATGTTGCCGAGATGACTCAGAGAAATCAAACAGTTTGTTTTGCAGTTGTGACAGAACCAGGCCATATGGCAAGTTCAAAAGAAGAAGACGCTACGATGCAACACGAGCAAGAGGCCGAGAGCGACCCTGAAAGAGATGTTTTGCAGGCTTCAAATATTTTGCAGACGGTATGGATATGAAGAAGTTCTTTCATTGGCCAACCACAATGACGAGAAGGAGGAAACATTCACTCCTTGGGAGATGGAGCGAAGAATAGCTGATGGACTAAATGACTTTGATGAACACAAGATCCGCTTTAGATTCGACGAATGGTTATCCAATCCCCGGTCCTCTCTCCAGTTACGAACAAGTTGTTTTTCTCGCCGTGCATCAATCACTTGTTGAATTGGATCAGGGAAGTCGCAGTCATCATCAAGCGAAGCGATGATGGGGCATAAAGCTTACAGCGATATCGCCAAGAAGAATCCTGCTTGGATGACTCAGATGGAAGTCGACGGGACCGCCGATCCACAATCGGTGGATATCATGCTGAAGATGTTCAGTGACAAGGCCATCAGTCTACTAAAGGCAGAAGGACATGAAGCGACAGCAAGAATGGCAGAGGCTATGTCTGGCCTGCACAAAGCATTCGATGAAAGAGTGCTGAAAGTTTCAGAGAGGATACGTCTCGTTCACGAGGGTCGATGGCTATTGGAAGGCATCGACTGGACCAATGTCAGCCACAAATATGTCAAGGGACTATCCTTTGTAATATTTGAAGGCTTCATAGTTGCAATTGATACTCATCTGCAAGTAAAGCAGTATGTGAGGGATAAGAATCAAGCGCTGGGTAATAGAGACTATGACTTCAACTTGCCAAGAGGAACAAGGATCCGCATCGCAAGGAGGAAGAGGGGGAGCAGCTGCGCAAAGAGAAGGAGCAGCTCCGCAAGAAGGAGGAGGAGCTGCGCAAGAAGGAGGAGCAGCTGCGCAAGAAGGAGGAGCAGCTCCGCAAGAAAAAGGAGGAGAGCTTCGCAAGGAGAAGGAGGAGGAGCAGCTTCGCAAGAAGGAGGAGGACGAGCTTCGTAAGGAGAAGGAGGAGCAGCTTCGCAAGAAGGAGGAGGAGCTTCGCAAGGAGAAGAATGAGCAGCTTCGCAAGGAGAAGGAGGAGCAGCTGCGCAAGGAGAAGGAGGAGCAGCTGCGCAAGAAGGAGGAGGAGCAGCTGCGCAAGAAGGAGGAGGAGCAGCTGCGCAAGAAGGAGGAGCAGCTTCGCAAGGAGAAGGAGGAGGCCCAGCTTCGCAAGAAGGAGGAGGAGCAGCTTCGCAAGGAGAAGGAGCAGCTCCGCAAGGAGAATGAGGAGGAGCTTCGCAAAAAGGAGGAGCAGCTTCGCAAGAAGGAGGAGCAGCTTTTCGCAAGGAGGAGGAGCAGCTTCGCAAGGAGAAGGAGGAGCAGCTTCGCAAGAAGGTGGAGCAGCTTCGCAAGAAGGAGGCCCAGCTTTGCAAGGAGAACCTGGTTTTGAGGCAGATTCCGTCATCTGTAGAGCGAGGGATAGCTTGGGAGGAGTCAGAGGCAGGGCTTGATCGCATGGGCTTTTGCGAGCAGAGAAAGTGCTTCCGCCTCGATAGCTCGTACTTATCGATGGATGCAAGCGATGTCAGCAACCAGGAGCTCTTTCTCTACTGCCGAGAAGCCTTCACGAAAATTTATGGGATATGTATTTGTATGATATAAACTTCCATAAAATCTGGTTCAACCCGAAAACCGGATACATAATAAATAAAGATAGCATGCTGTCACATACGAGTAGAGCTGCTTGAACTTGTTGAAGTTGCAGTGTACAACCTTCACCGTCGTGTCAATGATGATGCAAGGAAAGAAGAGCGGAAAGGGGCGACCTTTCCATCGAGTCCTGCTGCAGCCTGCCGCCATGGAGTACCCTCAACGGACAAACGCTCGAGTGTGCCTTGCGCCGGCGCGAGCACGAATTAAGTCATCTGGGCGCCAGCTTCAATGACAAGTAGGCACTTGGCTCTCAGCCTCGGCATGGAAGGAGACGGATGATGAAGAACTGCTGCGTCTCGATTGGAACAACATGACCAGTGAAAGCCTTTGCTTGACATGTCCAAGACTTTACTCTTCACAAACATCAGCCGCATAACTGTGAAGGGGTTTGGCTACCTCCATGCGTGCCTCAAGAAACGATGTTCTTCGGCATGTGACCTCTCCTCTCTAAGGATCTCCCTGACTATAAGATAGAAATCCCTGCTACTTCTGCTTGCATTGCCTCCTCTCCTCTCTTCCATCCGTAATCCTTTAGCGCCCCGCTGTCTTCGATGGGTTTGATCTCAAACCTTGCAAGCTCCTCAACCGGAATCAGGAAAACAACCTCCACCTTCCACTCCCCACCTTCCGGGATGTTAAGCGCTTTCAGAGCCTTCAAGAAGAAAGAGAGTTTGAAAGAGTGTTTCTGTGCGATCGTTGCTTGTACAAACATCACCTTCCGCTTCTCTTTGTCGACCATCACTGCGTCATAGCCCCCCTGAAACGCGCTAATGGGCCTCAAGCACGTATTTTGCGCAGGAAGCGTCTTGATCCCTTGCAATGATGAGAAATTCACCACAAGACATCGATCCCAGCTCTCGGTCTGTCTCGGGCCACGGTAAGTCACACTCAACCCTGTTTGTTCCATCTTCTTGAAGAAAAGCATCTCGAAAAGACTTCCCTTCACGCCCGGATTTCCATAGCCATAACTGAGAGCCAACTGCCTCAAAGTCGATTCTGCAGTACGCTCCGCAAGCGTACTTGCAACATACTTGCTCACTGGCAACCAGCTTCTCTTACTCCCAAACTCGACGTATGCTATCAACCGGTTGATGGCTTGCGGCGAAAACTCTCCTACGTTGCCCTGGAGGACGGTCTCCAGGTTCGTACCACTCTCAATGGCGTCGTCCAATGCCTCTTTCACATTGGCCACGGTTCTCTGGAACATGAACCGACATGAGCCCCCGGCGAGATAGTACTTCCTTACGACCCGCTCCTCTCTCGTCTCTTGCCCATCGCATGTCGTGATTAGCATCCATTCTACCTCCACATCCATCTCCAAGAAGGGCTTCACTTGCTCATACAGCTCGTCGTGCTGCACCGCCTGCAGGTACTCATCGAGCGTCCAGGAAACAACCTTATGCGTCTCAAGCTTCATTTCTTGATCCCACTCTGTGTACACCTTCCCCCGAGATGACATCGATGTTACAACAGCCAGTCGTCGATGTTGCTGGTCTGCATCACGCCATACCAGACACTCCCGATACACGCCTTGATGAGTTTCTTGCTGTCTCAGGAAACCATCTAGCACTACCACATGCTTCTTGCCCTCGCGCCCTGCAAAGGCCTCCCGTAACCCCTCTGCTGCAGAGCTATACAAGATCTTGCAAAATCTTCGCCTCCCGTTCACCACTTGCATGCAGTAGATGTGTACAGGCTTCAGCCTGAGAAAAGTCACCATCCACTCTTTCATGTCCAGCGACAGGCAGAACGCTAGCGTCGTAGTCGTCTTCCCTGTTCCTGGCGGCCCTTGGATCCAGCCCAGAGCGCCTTGCTCCAGCACTCGCTCTCTCAGGAAGCTCTGCTGCTTCGTGAAGGCTTCTCGGCAGTAGAGAAAGAGCTCCTGGTTGCTGACATCGCTTGCATCCATCGATAAGTACGAGCTATCGAGGCGGAAGAACTTTCTCTGCTCGCAAAAGCCCATGCGATCAAGCCCTGCCTCTGACTCCTCCCAAGCTATCCCTCGCTCTACAGATGACGGAATCTGCCTCAAAACCAGGTTCTCCCTGCGAAGCTTCTCCACCTTCTTGCGAAGCTTCTCCTTGCGAAGATGCTCCTTCTCCTTGCTGCGAAGCTCCTCCTCCTTCTTGCGAAGCTGCTCATTCTTCTCCTTGCGAAGCTGCTCCACCTTCTTGCGAAGCTGCTCCACCTTCTTGCGAAGCTGCTCCTCCTTCTCCTTGCGAAGCTTCTCCCTCTTCTTGCGAAGCTGCTCCTTCTTGCGAAGCTGCTCCACCTTCTTGCGAAGCTCCTCCTTCTCCTTGCGCTGCTCCTCCTCCTTCTTGCGCTGCTGCTCCCTCTCGTCCTCCTCCTCCTTGCGATGCGGATCCTTGTTCCTCTTGGGAAGCTGCTTCTGCTTCTCGCGAAGCTGGTTCCTCCTCCTATGATTGTGTAGCTGATCCAACTCTACAAAATGGTCTTGGTGGGCCTCCCGTTGACCACTTGCTTGTGGGGCCTCCTCCTCAACCTCAACCTTCGCTCGCTCCTCCCCCGTCTCTCGCCGTCTCTTGCGCTTGTTCGACGCAACGTGTTCTGGCTGCATGCTGCACCCAGGGAAAGGCAAACCGGAGCAAACAAGGAGGAAAAATACATCTTTTTTAAAAAAAATTATTAATTTTTGTGCAAGACTCCTGAAAAACATTGAAAACTCTGCCCTGACTTTTGAAATATATTCGGACAAGTTTTGGGGAAAAAGTTGAATTTCCTCCCCCTTTTTTTGGAGGGGATCCCAAAATAGCGCAAATACAAAAAAAGGTGGTGTTCTGTCCTAAACTCCTTTACTCAAAGTTAAGTTAAAATCAGTACGAGGACAATAAGGAGAATAGAGGAGGCTTGACCCTGACAAATTAGCTTTCCAAGACTTCTTCCGGCACGATATATACTTTCTTTCAACTCTGGAGGTTTTCTGTCATTTTTATTGTTCACCACATAAATGGACCACCCCCCGGGGGCAAAGGGGTTCGATGACCATTCATCCTTGCAAGTCTGCCTCAGAATGATAAACACTTAGCAGCGCTGCACTTATATTATATGGAAACGTGAGGAGACAACTTTTTGCGAATAAATCATAATTTTTATCTGTTTTGCGAATAAATCATAATTCTCAGTAACCATCCGGATTTTTTTATTGTAGGTCTTATAATAGTTTATTGTCAGACGGGGATATCAATCCGGATGAGTCAGAAATTTGGAATTTTTATGGGTAGGAGGTTTCTTCCGGATCATATTATTATGTATCCGATTTTCGGGTTGTACCAGAATTTATGAAAGTTTATAGTTCGCAGTAAATTTCCCATAAAATTTGCGCAATGGCTTCAGAAGAGGATGAAAGACGGTGCTGTGAGCGATTCTGAGTAGATGAGAGCATTCTTTTCCTCTTTACATCATAGCTAGCCATATGACAATGGATGTATGATGTACACAATGATCTTGAACTACAATCTCACGATTCAAATCTCATCAATATATTGCCACATCGCAAGGAAAGAGACAACCTCAACTCCTTAGTCCACCATCACCTTCGTTCTTCATTCCTACACGTCCATTACCACTCATTTTTTCTGTGGAATATCGGCACTTGCGTACGTCATATGTTTTGCTATAAAATCTGTCACTGTAATCATCTCATTCGTCTAACTACTGGTTCTCAACGATGCAATCCGTCTTGTTCTCTGCACCAGGTCGCTACAGACTGCCAGGTCCGTCGTTGCCTCCCTTCTTTCCTCGGTAGTTTCAAGCATTCCACGCACTGCTTGAAGATTTCCTTGGTTTCCTCCATGGTTGCGTTCTCCTTATACACTCCTTTCTCCTGTGCACATTGGTCTATTTTGCCCATCAGATACCTGAAGTCACTCAAACGTTTCCTTGCATTCTGGTCGGCAAAATCACTCGGTTCCAGGTTTTTGAATGGTGGATACCCTTTTTCTGCATTTCCTTGCATCCACCACTCGTAAGCCACATCAACGAACATCTTTGGCCATAAAAAATCTTCTGGCAGAAGGCGAATGCGTCGACCCCAGTTGTATCCGTTCACCTGCAATGCTCCACTCTGCTCAACTTGTGCAGGCTGTCTTGGACTGCTTTGACAGTCTGCCCTCCCATTCACCTGTCTCATCAGGACCTCTAACATATCCTCCATATGACGAAATCGAGTTGTCATCTCTTCCACTTTTTGAAGCACAATTGGCATCATCATCCCTCCGCCGATATTTCCAACACAGTGACTCTGCTCCATGTTGCCATTGTTCACTGAGTTTGATGCCATCAGACTGATGTCTGTTTGCGTATCACGCGTTTCTACCTCCTTCCTGCTAGCTTCAAGCCCTTTCATGCCTCTGAGGATTGTTACATGCGCTGGAATGCCTGTACACCGTCTGCCATCCGACCCTCGATTGTCACCATTTTCTTCATTCGTTGAAGAATTCCTTGTTGCGTGAACAGGCAAGTAGCCAACAAAGCATGTTCCTTCGGGAGTGTCTTCATCAAAAATTCAGAATGATACACAACAGAAGCCACAGCGTATTCTGCAACAAGATACAGTTTGGTTGTAATTCCAGGGAACATCTCTGAGATGTAAGACGATACAAATGCTCTTTCATCCCCATCAGACCAGCGAAAGTAGGGGGGCAACGTGGCAAACTCTGCCTTGTCCAGGGGCAGGCCCGTCGCTGTCCTTCCCACATACTGGTCGCCTATCGCGCGGTCAAGTCGTTGCCCTTCCATGTCACCTCAGAGAAGAGAATTACCTGCAGCCTCAAGTCTCATGTATGTGTCTTGCACAGGTCCCATCTTCCAGCCAATTCTGCGCTACGGCTCAGAATCCAGTGATGGATATTGTTTGTCACCTATTACTCAGAGGAACATATCTTGGACCATCTGGACTTCCACCGGAACAATAAGTAGCGGATCCTTTGCACAACATCAGTCATTGGATCCGAGTGGATACCAAACCATGTACAGTACCTTTTCTTACACTGTGTGACCCGATATTTTGTATGTCTATTCCCAGGAATTTGAAGGGCTACCCCTTTTTTTGCGATCCTTTTCGACGGTCGTGCCTA